GGGTGATCATTGCTAACACTAAGAGCTATGAAGAAATAACCTTTGTTAATTCCAGACATTAATTGAATGCTCAAGAAATAGCTCTTTTTACTTGGGATTAACTCCTGGAATCGAAATAGTCCATGTAGCAGTTGGCTGCTTGGTTGAGACCTGGGCACGGTAGATAAGGTACGTAGATGATATGTGGGCATAGCTTTACTCTAAGTAACTTTGTAGACTGAAGTTCTCAACAGTAGAGTTCATAACGTTATTTCCAGAAGATAGTACGTGCAGCGATAGTTCGTTATTTACTGAATGACGGGTATGTAGCCGAGATACCCTACAAGCGTACAGTAGTGGCTCAGTATTACGAAGGGCGCATTCGTGTCGCTATGTTCGCCTGGAATCCATGGGAAAACCAATTAGCAAGGATGTGAGTCATGACAAAGTAGATATGTAATACAGAGTAAAGTGGGCAAGTGAGCATAAGCAAACTTATCTGAAATAGTGAACACAAATAAAAAATACATATTACATAAGATAAGTACTGAATATATAACGCTGTGAAAAATAGGTGGGAAGCTCACAGGTGAGCTAGTGTTATGGGAATATCATATCGAGCTAATATTGTAATAAATAATTCGTTGTTCCCATAGCGTAAGTCGTTGCTTTGCTGAAGAGTTCTGTCAATTCATTAAGTACTCTGGATAGTCTATTTGAGATATGATGAGGAGGGCATTACTTACACTTACTTACTTCGTGCGCGTTTTTAATAATGCTAAAAAGTTTTTTGATTAGTTGAAATTTACAGATCCTTCTTTGAAACAGCCGCCCAGGCCGGAATGCATATACAATATGGTCTTATAGTGGTAATGAGGCTTTTCTTCTGATCCAAGATTTGAGTAGTTCTAGGGTCTGCCGTTGAGCCTCTCATTTATATACGCCGAGATATTTTGCATACGTAGTGCGATAGTTTTAATGAAGAGAAAAAGTTTTTTAAGAAGCGTTTGCAAGAGCTTTCTGTGACAAGTAATAGTTGTGATGCGATGACGGTATAGCCACTTGGTCACCAATCTTCATGTAGCTCGTCCTGAAGCATTTTGAATCATGATTTGCTTAGCGGATTTGAAGCTAATGCGGATGGTTAAATTATTAAATCCAGATGAGATATCGTTCATTTCAGAGACAGTTCATAGGTGATGTATCATTAGGAAGACTGGTCAGAAAATTCATGCAATGTTAGGGAAACAGGAGATGGCGAAGAGCATGAAAGCTTAGCTTTCGAGGAATATTTTTCCACCAAGTCTCTTACTCAAAACATTAGTTAGAAATTTAATGTTTAAACTGTTATGTCATGTTATAATAAAAAAAAACATTTTTTGACATTATTATATTAAGAGTTGAAAAAATATTATTTCAGTTTAAAATGAAGCTTATTATTTCTAAAGACAAAATCTGCAAACTTTTCCATTTCTCAAAATTTCGCTTTGACTTCAAAATCAAGCTACACATATTAAACTATTACTAAACCCCGCCTATTACGAGACTTGCACGCTGTACGCTTTGGCCAAGCTGCACGCTTAGCCTCTTCAGTCTCATCGGCATCTACCTTGTTACTCCGAACTTGAACGTTTGCGCTTTCATACTACACGTACGAACTTGGCCCGTGTTCGTACGTGTAAGATGAAGCCTTTCGAATGATAAGTATTTCGATGTGACGATCCACTTCGAAATGCTTATTATAACCCTCGCGTGCTTTGCCACAATCAAATGAAATAAACTAAACATATAGTAGGATACTACGTTAGTATAGAGAAATATAGTTGGTGGCTTCGTGGAGGGTTGGTTGATTTTTAATGGCACAAAATCTTTAAGGTTATTATGCGCTAGACGACTGGTGAATAAAATCCAAAATGCAAAAACACACTGTATCAGATGAATTGTTGAAATGAACCTGTAATGCTGATGAAGGCATGAGGAAATGAGTCGAGAAATGCTCTGCACAGGTATAGCAGGATAAAGGAAAAAGAAACTTCAAAGAATACGTAGAAGAGATTCTTTAAAGTATTATGAGGTGATGTGAGGGTTTCTTCTAAGGAGTCTGTTAAGCTAACATTCGTAGATTTAAAATAATATTCACTTTCTGACTAAAAGCAGGTTAAAATGTGTTGACTGAACGGGAACGTTGCAAGTGCCACAATAGGCTCATTATCTCCTTTCAAAAGATACTGATGTCAGTATGCAGTGACCAATCGTGTAGTCAGTAGTACATCTTCTTTTCGGTTCCCTCTCGACTCTCAATACTCCAAATTGGGTTTTACCTGCCTTAATTTGTTCAGAGTCTGGCATTCCCAGTGTTCTTACCACCTGGACAAAATCTTTGTTCTGATGTAATTCCGTGTCTATAAAAGGGACATCATTTTCAGAGATAATACCAGCAGATTTTACTGCGATATCTACGAGTTCATTACCTTTAATGCCAGCATGTCCAGGCACTCAGCAGTAGACAATAGAATAACCTGCGTTTCTCAAACGAAACTGCGCCTTTAAAATTTCAAAGACCTGGCTGGTATTTGTACTTATTGATTCAAGAGTACTCAGAGAGTCAGAGTAAGGATGATGAACTTTCTGCTATTCTACCTAGTTGGTTGGTGTTAAAGCTTGTAGTCCACCTTTTTTTTCTTCTTAAAGATCACCTATTTTAATTAAGCTTGAAATTTCATAATGATGAATGGCTTCAAGTGATTTCATGTCCAAGTCAGAAATACGTAAATTTAATTCAGGATTACAGAATACTTCAACGAGGGTTTCAAACTGTCTGACAAAACTAATTCCATCATCAAAATGTTATGCATTTTCAGAAAAAAATATCAGACCGAAATATTTCGTATACTTTACAACTCCTTATGAGAGAATGACCTCAAACGTACAAATGAAATCAAAGAAAACATAACAGCCCTAAATATTTCAAAGAGTTCCTCAAACATTTTTTCAATGAAGGGAGAAGAAACGGATTTTATATTCTTTTAATGAATATTTTTAAAGCAATCTCAAAATCATCATTATGCGAGAAAAAACAACTTCTTGAGCTTTGAATGATTTCTCCTCGCATGCTGCCTTTCAGAAAATGAACTCACTCCCTTAAAGATATCATAAAGGTTTAGTTTGGTTTATTTGATTATGGAAAGGCACCTCAGGGGAGGGAAGCCTTCGTGGAGGACTTTCTAAGGAAAAACTGGCTCGTGTACACGTTACACATAGGGAAAACAACAAAACGTCCGAAAAGAACCTGAAGAAATAAGCCAGAAATCATTAAAAAGTTTGTTGCCATTTAAGAACGCTGCATTTGGAGACTATGTTACACATATACTGAAAACAATTACCTTAACAAATTGGACGCTCTCCTTATCTGAGACTATATTTGATTCCAAAAATAGTGAAGTAAGCTCAAAAATCACATTAATAACGAGACTTGAACTGATATTTCTCATGACGTTTGCTTTTTAATTACTTTTTAGCTACTCAACATACTACATTACTCATTCTATGTATGTAAAGATTATTAGTTTCTTTTTACAGACTAAGTCTGAATTTTTGCTTTAAGTTCAGTATAACGAAATTACTTACCAATTCAATTTATAACACTAATTCAATTAAAATTTAATTTATAATATTAAACATTTATTTTACTGTAATATGCTATATAAAAATTCTTGCAGTTTTTGATACAAGCTTTGTCATCGTCAGTAGTAAATAAATTCTTCAACCTTCCTTTTTTACTCATTTTATAAAAACTGGTATTCAAAATAATTCTAGCACACTAATGTTGCATTTGGTTTAGAATTCTGTATTATCTTTGCGTTTATTTGAAACAATGTGATAATCAATATTTACTTATATTTTCCTAACCTTATATATACCTTTATATTTCCTAACCTTATATAACCTTATATATACCACTGCAATTTATTTTGTTAATAAATTAAAATAATAGTAACATATGTTGCAGTAATATTAGAGGGAGGTTAGGAGACCATCGATTTGAAGGAGAAAAGCTATAGGTATTCTATAATTATGAAATTTTATCAACAGGTATGCGAAAATAAGCAGTTTGGGAACCACTGCTCTAAATGAACATTAACTTCAAAACTATCTTCAGTTTCAACTAAATACTTTGTAGAGTCGTGAGTTGAAAAAAATGTGCAATGTCGTCCTCGGCGAGGCTCGAACCCTGGACCTCTCGAATACGCGTCGACTATGCTTCAAATTACATCACGAAGGCGATTAGGAGGGAAAAAGATACATTATACCCTATATGGTTTCACGTAACAGATGCCTTTCCAATGCTGATGTTAATATTTAAACTTAAATATTCTGCAGCTTATTTAAAAATACAGAAATCGAAAAAAATTAAACACTTTTTGTATGTGATAAAAATTGGTTAATTTTTTTTCTAAGTATTGCATACAAGAGCAATATATTGTAATAGAAGGCATATATTTGGTAAAATATATTTATATATAGAAATAAATATAATGATTAAACCAACTCGATTACATTGTAGTATAAAAATATAAAGCTATAAGTGCACTATAACATTAAGAGATATTAACATCGAAACTTTTGGAAAAATTCAATTTTGTTTTGTCCTTTCCTTCATCAGAAATGTTCCAAATAAGTAACAGACTTATAAATGGGTTTTTATTTAAAATGAATAAACTTTTGCGTCTTGAACAAGCAAACTTTTGAGTATGCTCTTCTCATATTTTCATAATATTTAAAGGAAGTGAATGTAAAATTTTGATGTCGTCAAAATATTACTGTATCCATCATTCAAATTATGACTCATAATTTGAATTTTATTCATGTATTCTGGCTTCATTAACTGAAGCTTCCAACTTAGATTTTCCTCATAAGTATAAAATGCAACTGTCCGTCGCCAAATACGACGGGGCAACTTTTAAAGAATCTATGAAACTGTAGCAAATGCCCATAAATCATCTATAATCGAACGTTTATTGTCAGAATATGACAGGGGTCAATCTTCCTGATGTCCGGGTTTCAGAATTGGCAGACACGGCAAATTGGTAATCGATGCTTCTGTGAGATGGATGCAGATAATAAGATAGTCCTTTCCATGGCATATTCGACCATTGTAGAGAATCTTCACATCTCACAGGACGTGGCTGTGAACTTTTACACCAAAATACAGTATAATATTTTACTTTATGTCGACCAGGAAACAAAATAATCTCGTAATCATATGTATGGGAAAGGAAGATGATTCTCTTTGGTCCATTAAGCAGGGCTAAAAATAGAATAGTAAACATATTAGAAATTTTGAAATGAAATTTATTATATTTTAAAAGTATCTGAATATTTAGTCTTATCCGATATACAGATCAATTTTATCTTACACTAGTTCTTTTCACCAACCATTTCTCTTTACAAATAGAGTCTGCGTAGTCCCAGTGTAAGGAACAATCATGAAAACACACCAGGGCTACCAAATATTTTTCTATGGTAACCTCGTGTGATTTCTGTATTTAACAATACAATAGATTACACACTGCCCGGCGCCTGGAAAAATCATTTCCATTTTAAAAATATTTGGTTTTTGATTTGTGCATTGCAAACTGTAATATTCGTTTTAAATATATCTGTTAAAATAGCTAACAATTTAAATGAATACTTAATCCTAAAATAATAAATGAAATTAATGCTAAAATTAAACATATTAACTAATTAGAAATTAAATTTATAGAAAACTTTTTATAAATAGGGTTTTGGCGAAATTTTAGCTTTTACAACTAAATGCTCTATTCGTGTTTATTTTGTCGAGTGTTTATTTTTATTTGTCTATTCGTGTTTATTTTGTTCATCAAGAGTTTCACCGAAAATAGTTTTTAACTGTGTTTAAGCAATTGATTCTCTGCACTGACTATAATGCATGGACTCTAGTAGAGATAGCAACTTGCTTTACTCCTTGAAAGTGCTTGCAGTTTCACAAAATTCGGTTCTGTTTATCATTTTCTGAATATCTTTTTTGTACCGATATTTAAAAGTTTGTTTTAGACCTCGAAATTAAAGGCTGAAAATTAGAAGTTATATTTGCTAAAAGGATAATAATTCTTTCAGAAAGGTAAAAAGTGGTATGGCTTAGTTTTTTTAGTTGCGGCAGAGCAATCGGGGCTATCTGCCTAAGAGAAGGAATGTCTCGGAAGAACTTTAAGGGAAGTGGTTCGTACCATGTACACATACGACCGACTGAATACCAATGTTACCGGACGAACTCCCATGTTCGGGATGACCTCTGGGACGCCTAAAAACAGGTGTATGTGCTGCACAATTATCTAATTAGAAAAGATGAGTTCATATTTCCTTTCAAAGATAGAATTTTTCGGCTTCTGTAATTAATAAGTGGTGTCATTTTAGTTGTTGGATGCATATTACTGTGTATTAGTTTATTAATGTTTCCTTTACATTCTTAAATCATTTGCTGTTCGTTTGTTCTCTTTATAAATATTAATGTGTGCAGGATTTTCTGTATCATAAATTTAGACTTGCATTTACTTAGTAGCCCAGATAAAACGTCTTTTATCCAGTTTTCAGTAGCTTGAGGATGTCTCTCTCCCCTTTGAGTATGCAGTTTCCTATAACAATTCTGAATTTCTTTTCGAAACCATCTGTTAGTTGATGTTATTCATCGGTCAGTTGATAGAAAATTCTCTTCCAGCATTTTAGCCATTTCCATAACTTTTATAGTGAAAAGACCTCTAGAAGTAGAAACATTTTTTTACTTTCATAGTTTGAAACCATTCTAGTACAGCAGTTTCAACTTTTTTAGATTATGCATTTTTTTCCGTCATTGACAAATTTTCATTTTTTGTTTATTCTCCATCAATAACAAGGCATTAAAGTAAATTGCACAATGCTGTTTTGGGATCTTCCGCTTTAAATGCAATTTTTCTCTGGCTCACTAAGAAACATGAAAAGGGTTTTAACAATTTATATTTTTCATCCAGGCTCAAGCCTTTTCGCTTAAAGGTTTTCGCACACTACCACCACCTCAGATGCCGCCAAATTTTCAGAACTCGCCAAACTTTGGCAACGACTCGGAGCAATTTTTTTAATGTTTAATAAGCAACATTACTATTTTAACAACTTTTTTTAGTTTTCCAAATTCTGGGGTTTTTGTGGATAAATCGTAATATTTTTCATTTTAAATTCAATTTTAAAATATGGCGTTGGGAGAACGCTTAGAATTACTTGGTAAAATATCAGCATGAATACAGTACTTCGCAGAGTAATTACTAAATGTTTGGTTTGGTTTTATTAGATTCTGGCAAAGCACTCGAAAGCAAAGCACTGGCAAAGCACTGGTTTGGTTTTATTAGATTCTTTTCAAACACAGATGTTTTCGGCTGATGAATATAGGATTGAATAAAGGATTCAGAAATTAAAGGATTCAAGAAGAAACGTACAGTGGGTACAAAAAGTATTTGCACACATACATTTTTGTTCACAATTTATAAGAAAATGAATTAAGAAATACAAAAATTGGCATTTAAAACATAGAAACGAAAGCTATCTGCCTTAAGGATGATTCTATCTGCCTTGAGGGATGATTTCGTGGAGGGTTTTCTAAGAGAAACTGGCTCGTATACACGTTACACATGGGGAAAACCACGAAAATGCCCATGCAGCCAGCCCGTTCGCGGGATTCGAACCTCGGACTGAACTACCAGTGTTCAGCGACGTTACCGCTCGGCCGCTGGTGGGCCAATTACTAGAGGAAACTAGTGGTTCTAACATAAACTTAGCAACAAAAACGAAATTTCCACCAGATTAAAGGAAAAACGGTCTTGTAAGTATATTCTTTTATTCTTGAAACAATAATTAACGAAAATGTAAAATATGTAATAAAAATTTTTTTTCAGTTTTAAAAATCATTTATGTTTCCTATACACTCACCAAACTGTCTTGAGGTGCTCAGACTAATACGCAAGTACAAAAAAAAAAAAAAAAAAAAAAAAAAAAAAAAATCTTGAACAAAATAATGAATATTTTACTAACAGATTTAAGTTCAAAATGAAAACTTACATCTTTCTTCTCCAACAACTATCACGGAGGAGTTAGATGAATTACCGATAATGTTGCCAGCAAATATTTCAAATCTGTAAGAAACACTTGGTAGCATGCCTGTAAAACTATACGATGTTTCTCTAGCAGCAGAAACCTCCTTTTTTATATAAGATCGAAATGGAGCTGACACACGAATCCAGTACTGAAACTTTTCGCCATTTTCATGCTCAACAGGTATGTTCTGGAATAATTAAAAGTGTTTTACAAAAAATAGAATACCACAAAAGTCATGCATTTGTGGAATTAAAGCAAAAGGTACTAAGAACACTTACTTTCCAATACAGAGTTATTGTTCTGTTATGAACAGAATGCAGTTGGTCTATACTTTGTTCAGCATCTTCAAAATCTTCAATTTCACTGCTAAACGAAGAATTTGTGATTTCTGGTCTCCAGTAAGGAACTAAACATTTGGTTAGAAATTTTGATTACAATTTCACATTAATGATATTTTATATATTAAACATAAAAATTAAGCTTGCTTTGGTTTATTTGATTATGGCAAAGCACCTGATGGCTATCTGCCTAAGGGTAGGGATGTCTTCGTGGAGGACTTTCTAAGGAAAACTGGGTAGTATAATCTTTACACATGAGGGTATTATCTTTACAACATGGGGGAAATCAAGAAAATGCTCATTCAGCCAACCCTTTCGCGAGATTTGAGCATCGGACCGAACTACCACTATTCAGCGGTTTTACCGCTCGGCTGCTGCCCATAAAAATTAAGAAAAATTTCTTCAGTATAATCATTTGTTTCAAAATACATCTGAAAGCTTCCCAGAAAATCTCTTTTCAGAAAATGGGGGTTATTTAAGAGTCCTAAAAAAGTTGTATATATTGGTAATCAATAGACAAAATTTTGTACGTGTAAAGATTTAACTTTCAGATGTACTTCAATATATTCTTTGATGTAATTCGTGTTTTGACTACATTAGAAATGCCTTCAACTATTTAACAATCATTAAAAAAATAAAGAATTTTAATAGAAAACTAGATTGCGTTGAAATCTGAAAACAAATTTAATATAGTTTCATAGTGACAAATATACTATATTTCCACTATTTACTAAAAATTACAATCCTCTAGCAGAATAGTCAATGAAATAAAGGATTTAGAAGATTGGATTTATGTTGTGGTAAGTTAGAAGTAAATTCTTCAATCCTTTCAAACACAGATGTTTTCGGCTGATGAATATAGGATTGAATAAAGGATTCAGAAATGAAAATAAAGGATTCAAGAAGAAACGTATATTTAGTCTAAATATCGACTCACAGCCGGTTGAGCGTTAACAGCAGTAGTTCCGACCTGGGTTCGATTCCAGGCGACCGGGATGACTGCATGGGTGTTTCTTATGTACGGTTTCTCCTTATGTGCAAAGTGGATACGAGCCAGTGTTCTCCAGGAATTCCTCCACGAAGGCATCTCTTCCGTTATGCATATAGCCCTATTGTGTTTTGCCATAATCGACTAATCTAAATTAGTTTAAATACGATTAGAAAAATTTTTAAACAGGGTGAAAAATTTGGAGAAGTTAATATACATAACATGTGAAAAAATTTAGGTCCATTACACCAAACAGATACTAGACAATTATTTCTGATTTAAAGTTCTCAAAGTAATTTAATTCTACAAAGTAAATTCATCATTGTAGTCGGGAAGAGCTGGGGAACGTAAAATTAAATTTTCTCACTTAGCTTTAGGGAACTAATTGCAAAACATTCGAGATTTCCAATCCATTCGAGATTTAATTCCAATTCGTTTCCAATTTCCCAACCCTAATTCTGAAGTTTTTCACAAAACGTTCTATCTTATTTAATATATATATTTAAATATGACAGCAATCTTTTTCGAAAATTGTATATAATTCTTACCATCAGGAGGTGTAGTCATAAAAAAAGTCTTAGAGAACATCCAGACGGAATCATTTTTTTCACTACATGGCTTGCAGCGGAATTCGAACTGGTATCTTGTATTAGGTATCAAGCTTGTTAATTGAACAAAGTCAGTTGGGGAACGTGGCCTTACCACCTGAAAAAGGTCATATTACAGCATAATTGGTTGTAAAATTTAAAAAGAAATCGTAGATGTTCGAAACAAGTATTAATTCAGCAGATTAATTAGCACAAAAAAATGGCAACAATGAAAGCCTTGTAATGACAGTTTAAACATACCATTATGGGTATAGATGAGTAAAATAAAGTGCAATGGTAGTTATTTCTGAAGAGGGTTTATTAGATTATATATTTTCAAATGAGCCACAAATAAACGAGTAAGAAATAGCTTTCTGCTAAGGTATACTGCTAATTTAAGCACTTAAGTTATTCTATTACTTAGATGTGCGTAAGTTAGTGAGTTAATTGTGTCTTGATTGAGACCCATGAGACCATTTTAAAAGCATAAATCAAATATTTTATAATTAGTATTAATGCTAATAACTATTAATTTAATTACTTAGCAACTAACATTAAGAAAATTTGCAGAAATATGAATGCATACAAAACTAAAATGATTCTGTGTTTCGTTCATTTGATAACATTTAAATGGTAAATAGTAACACATAAGACTGGCAACAGCAGCACATAACACTGGCAATTTACAATCTATGTGAAAGGTACAGACTTTTATAGAAACTAAAAATGAAATATGTACTTAGTTTAATGAACTTTTTGTATGTTTATTAGATTGATGCTAAAGTAATAAAACTTGACGAGACTATTAATGTACTTTTATATAGTTTATAAAATGATTTTATAAAATTTTTGCTGGCAGAAAATTTAAAACAATTTATAATTTAAGGAATGTTCCACATATTGCTGAACGGCATTTGAGGAAACAGTTCGACCTCTAATTATTCTAATTTATTTTTAACTCAACACTGAAAGCGAACCAGAAAGAATGTTAAACATCCCAAATTCCGAAATTAAATATTCCAGGCAATTTTATGTAAATAAATCAAATATCTCGTACTTTGTTTTCCGTAACGAGTATAAATCGTTCCTACTTATAAGTATAGTGGTTACACATATTTTAGACGATTTATTTTTATTGTATTTACAGAAATATTTTACCTAACATTTCTGTATTTTAAATATTCTATTTGATAATCTTTATTCTTCACTATCTTTCTACACTGTAATTTCCAAGACAATAAAGCTTTTTATAGCATCAGAAGAGGTATTTTATCCCATTCCTCTTGAACAGATTTCCAATATCCAAGAAGTGTTGTGGGTCAATGTTTGTACAATTCGCGTTTTAAACGCCCAAAAGCTCAAAAATCCATTGGTCACATATCAGGAGAATTTAATAGGAATATAAGTGAATACCCGTTTCTTGTTCTTATTACGGAATACGGATATTCAGAGCGATTCGACGCAAAATCGCAAAACGAAAACAATAGTCCCGTCCCTCAGGGACAAAGCCGCCCCTTTGGACTAAAAAAGAAAAATGGGGACAGATTTACATCTCCCGTTCTACTGGGTGGATTGACTAAATTAAACTTTCTTTTCTCATGTCTTGAAAGCGCGACTTGGGATACGTATTAGATTTGTATATAGCATTGTTCTACTATAAGTATTTTGACAAAAAATCTGACTTTTTCTGAAATGCCATGCCAGTGTTTTTTCATATTTCGGTTCTACGGCTCAAATTATGCCAAAGTGCCAAGTTTTGTAAAAATCGCACGAGTACTTTTTAAAAAGTTAGCTCTCAAAATTTTAGCTCCTCAATGTTAATTGAATTTGCTATATATTTATTAATATCTCTTTTTTATAACTTATTCCTTCTTATATTCTTATATTATTTATTTGATTCCTTCTTCCAGAATTCGAAATTTACGCTTAATCCAAACATGATTCGTGTTGAAAAACAATTTTATGATTTATTTTTTAAACTTGTATTTTAAATATTTTTTAAACATTTTTCGAAAAAGATTTTGTATTATAACCTATAAAAGTTTTAACACCATATTAAAGTCGATGTATTTCCATTTGGCACGTTTTGAAATTTGGCGTATTTATAATAAGCGATAATAATGAAAATGTGGTTTACGCATTTTATTAAAATTATTTGAAAGAATGAACAATGGACCTTTTCGCCCTCTTGCGTCAATGGAAAGGTGTATTTAATTATGGCAAAGCACACTAGGGCTATCTGCCTAAGAGAGGAGGGATGCCTTTCGTGGAGGACTTTCTAAGGGAAACTGGCTCGTATACACGTTACACATGGGGAAAACCACGAAAACGCCCATGCAGCCAGCCCGTTCGCGGGATTCGAAACTCGGACCGAACTACCAGTTCAGCGTCTTTACCGCTCGGCCGCTGGTGGGTCGCGTCAATGGAAAGAAAAGGAAAGTAAGTAGGTTACTGTAAATTAAAAATTTCGCCAAGTGAGTTATTCTTCGCGTAAACTGAAAACAATGGGCCAACATGAATTTTTAAATTTTTGCATATTTCTCTCGCCAAAAATTACAAAATTTAGTATCTAGGCATTATTTGAGTCGTAGAATCGAAATATGAAAAAAATGAATGTTATTTCAGAAAAAATGTTATTTCAGAGAAAGTCCGATTTTCTATCAAACTACCTATATTATAACCATGCTATTTATAAATCTAATACATATCCTAAATCGCGCTTTCGGGACGCGAAAACCGCAAATCGAGTTTCGTCAATCGGCCCAGTAGAACAGGAGATATAGAACCGTCCCCCCTTTTTTTGTGTGTACATTTAGTTTTTTCATCTTATCAAGATTCAAATCATCATGAATAAATTTGTTTTCAGTTGACACTGAGCATTTTAATAATTTTCCAACTGTTCTTTAACTTATCGAATTATTTTAACATTAGAGATCTTACTTTAACAATATTCGAGACATTCAGTGTTTTCCTAGGATATGTTATTTAGACCAATGTTTCCACATGAAGCCAAATTTTTTTTGGCTCTCTTGTTGACAATATTTCCTATCGTAGCTTTAGATATGAAAACACCATGGCTTTCACAGAAGTTATTACTAGATAAGAATAAATTTCTTCTGAAAGAGCACAGACATAGCCTTCCATCCATTGCTTCTTTCAAAGTGGCATTTTGCATGAATACCGTAATAACTTCAAATTCGTCATTAATCTCGTATAACAAGACAGCACAAAAAAGCACCTGAATAAAGAATGTAGTAGCAAGCTTGTCTCTACCTGATATAAATCGCCTCCCGTAAAAAGTACAATAGTTTTTTGAAGTGTCCTGCCCTCATATATTTATGATTAATTCATTAATTTATATTTTTGAAGTTATTACTGTAATACATATTCCGGGCCAGGTTAATTCATCACAAGCATTGTGTAATTAGAAGTATAAATATCGCATACATAAACCTTATTAAGTTTTATAAATCAGCTCAAAGAAAAGCAGCAGTGCTGGATTTTATAATTTAATCAATTTTATAAATGCTGAATATAGATTTAATAAATGCTGAATATAGATTTAATAAATGCTGAATATAGATTTAAAATTGAACATTTTCAGTTCTTAATTTCGAAGAAAGTTCATATAAAAACACGCTTCGCCAAAAACACTATCAAGGCTTCCTTCCATGACACTAGAAAAGCAATAATTTAGACTAACTATTTTTTCTCAATATCGTATTGTGTCGATTTCACTATCATTTACTAACAACTTCAACATATGGTTCAATAAATACTAAAATAAGTTAAAACAAATATCTCGTAGAATTGGTTATAATGCAGCAATATGATGATGATAATGATATACAATAAAATATGAATATGAAATAAGATCCTTCTGTTCCTTTAACACTAATTTATTTCAAAATATTTTGTTCCATAGTATAAGAATTTGAAAAATTATTGAAAATGGCTAAGCCACTTTCATTTCCCAAATTATAAATTAAATACATAATAATTTTAAGATTAAAACTAAATACCTTAAATTTTGTTTCGTAAACAGGATGATACCGGATGTCGTACTTGATCGAGAGATCAGGTTTACAAAGATATATAACTTCAGTAGGAGGATTCCAGTGAAGTATCACAGAAGTCGGTTTAACTTCGGTGAAATAAGTACTTATTTTTCCTGAAATAAATCAAAATTTCACACAACTTGAAATAGCCTTTACAATGACAAAAGACATCCTACAAAATTTCACTCCTCTTTAGCAAAACCTTATTTTAATTTATCTCATAAATACAGATGAACTGTTGAAGGTAAATCTTAGTTTTAATACAAAAGTAAAGGTTATGTCTAAAAAGAATCGGAGTAATCGGGAATCAGAGCCTTATAAAAGGATAAGCTATGCAATTTAGATTTGGTTTATTTGCTTATGATGAAGCATTCAAAAGCTGTCTTCCTAAGGTAAGAGTTGCCTTCGTAGAGAATTTATAATTTAGAATGTCTTTGCTGTGCAACAGTCTTGCAGTTAAAAAGGTTTTGGATTATTAACCTTTTCATAGCTTATTCTTGTTTTGCAGACGACGATTTTTTTGTAGGGGTTTTACAATGTATTTCAAATTTATATAAAGAGGTTCGATGATTCCAGGTTTGTTCTCTTAGGGCAGTTTATGGCGGGCAATGAGATAAAAATATCCCAATGGGCTTTTAATGAGAATTATATATCTCTCAGCGGACTATGAATTCGTATATATGACCCATTAATGAAAGAGTTAATGGTTAAATGAAAAAGACTTAAATGGAAGCTTTTTCATTATAAGTTCACAAGAAATTAGTTTTAGGAGACGAGAAGGTTATTCCAATAAATTTAACCAAAATGCATTCTAAGCACTTGAGTGGTCTATAAGTCTACTGAAGCATGCTGACGTAATAAGAAAAGTTTCACAAAATTACACTTAAATATACCGCGCTGACAAAACATGCCTCGCTATGATGAAATGGTCCAAAAACAAAACCATATTTCACCCAGATATAGCCAAATGCATGCAGAAAAAAGCTTTAATTTTTCTATACAGTCGCCAAAAATTCAAAGTTATCATTAAGAAGTGGGTCTTTAATATTTTTTAGACGATAAGTTGCTGAACCTCACATGGCATCTATACGGTGAACACTCGAAAAATGTCTTGGGGGAATTATGCATCATATCTAATATTTCATAATTGTGTGAGATATTCAATCAATATCTTATTCTCGATAGGAAAGAGATCGTTTAGTCGAGCGAACATAGGAGGCAGTTGAGCCTCTTGAGAGTTTTTTTTTTTTTTTCGCTCATTTGAGTTGCATATGGCTAAGGGTTATTCTAACTTGAAGCGTCTTACAGATTTGTTAGTGACATTAGACACAACATGCTTTTAATATTTCCATAGTCAACGCTAAAGATGAGCATTTGTTAGCTCTTTCAATATCCCAAGACGTTGGGCAGAGTTGTTGGCGAACTTTGGGCAGAGTAAACCACTCGATGGTCACGTCGAAGCCAACTCACACGGTGATCATTATTGGTAAAGCAGACACAACTCTGTTCCAATGTTCCCCTGCGATACTATGGTGCACTGCCATTTTAAGCAACTCGTTTGAAATGTGAACCTTCACAAAAGGAAAGCTGAACTGTGGTAGGGATAATAATTGTGTACTAAAGCCCTACGGGTCGAAGACTCGACACCACCTTAATTCACCTAATTCAGAGCAAAGTTATTTGGATTATGACAAAGCAGAGGAAAGTTATCTGCTTAAGGAGAGGGAAAACGACTCCTTATTTACGTTACACATTGAGTAAACCACAAAAACCCTCACGCAGTCATTTACCCTTGGGTGGATTTGAACTCGCGTCTGACAACCAGTTAAGCGGACGTAAGTGTTTGGGCCGCTCATAGGCAAATTCAGTTATTAAGCATTAATTAAGCATTAAAATTAATTGAATACATAATTATTAAAATTAATAATTTATTTTTTAATTATCTAATAATATAGAAAGTCAAGAGTTCACTTACGCTTAACGGTATCACGGCTTAAGCGTCTCACTCGCTCAGCTCTGGATTTTGACTTGGACAATCCTTCGTCATTAATAGCGGCATTTTGATTGGATAACATTGCAGTTTTCTTACCTGTAATTGTGACGTTACCTAGAAAGTTTCCACGAAATTTTATAAATAAATCTTCAGAAGACACGTTGTAAGTTGAATTTTTGTATTGCTCTTGGCCAGATATGAAGCATCGAATGCTCTTTGGTGAACCAACCTCCAAACTAAAATCTTTCATCGTATCTGAAATAAAAGGTTTTTCTTTTTTTAACAATATGCAATAAAGAACTGAAAATACTGAGTTAACCCTTTCAATACTAATAAATTATTTAAAGATTTGTGTGCCCATGGGACGAATTTAATTTGCCGCTATATGGATTGATATGTGAAAGTAAAACATTTTATTTAGAATATACTTATATTGGTGATATAAATATATTTTTGAAACAGCATTTTAGAGTCAGACTCGTTCACGATAACTTCGCCCAAGTAAGCAGATGACGAATCTCACTCGTAAAATGTATACCCAAAGGGTTAACATTTGCAATAAAAAATTATAAAATAATCTCCTCTATAAGGGCCATATACGCCCAAAATATTTCCATGGAAACATCTATGCGCCAACTTTGCGTTTTGGGTACTGTTAAATTAAAGTTCTTCCTCTTATTTCTATAACAATTTTCCAATTATTGCCAATAAAAACATAGAAATGCATCATTCTGTTTTGTTCCTTGCATTTTGAAACAATTAAGATATATCTGTGTTTAGAAAGAAATTATTGTCGAAACACGTATGCTTTGTTATTGTATGTTACCTTTATTTATTAAATATGATGTTCTTTGCACTTGAACCATAAAATTCAGTTCAATAGCAATGTCGCAAAATAATTTTAAAATGAGCCTATCTTTAGAATTTCCGATACACAGTTCCGCGAGTTGGAGATAATGGTTTTTTCCTTTGTAGAGTGTTGCCATTGCTCGTTTTTAAATCGTTGAGTTTGTTAATCAAAAATTCGTTTTACAAAATATGAAATCGATAATAAAACAAATTCCAAATTTCAAATTTGGTCTTCCACATGTCCATATTCGTAGGAGGATTACGTCATTCAAAATTCGATAGCTCTAAGTACCGTTGTTTTATCACAGTGCGAGAAATATGCATACATTTAAGCAGATTTTTCATTATTTAATTTCTTCAAATATAATGTAGGACTCTAAGATTTGGTGGCAACAGTTTGAAAAGCAAAACGGATATTTATAGTGATTCAACGCAAAATCGCAAAATTCAAAGCTTTCAGATTTTAACGGTCTCCGGAGAGGGTATGTTAAGGGTTTTTACGCTCTCGCCTTAGCTCGCAGCTTATCAGTCTGCTGTTACACTCACTCCTAATGATCCCTTTTTTTTCTTTGTCTTTTTAGCTTAATTATTAAGCATAATTTTTTTCGCACTGACGTCATATACAATTCAACAGCAAAATTACAAAACTTTTAAAAGCAGCACAGTAGTGTTTAGAATTTCAGATGCAGCGTGAAGTATTGACATACATTTTTCTATTTTTTTTAGTCTTTTTCTCAGTTTATCATATCGATGTTCAATTTTCTTACCGAAATGGCTTTACAAAACTTTTTTTTGTCTTTTCATTATTAATGTTTTGTGCGTTTACTTTACTTATTAAATACTACGTGCTTGGCACTTGCGCCTCATAAAATTTGATTCAACTGAAAAATCGAAAAATATTTAAAAACAGCATAGCTTTAGAATTTCCGATAAACAATCTCTCGAGCTGGAGATATTTTTTTTTTTTTTTTTTTTTGGTACAATGTTGATTTTTTCTCTACGATGCTATGGGGCACTATCATTTTAAGCACTTATGCTTATAATATATTTTAAATAATAGTACTTAAGTATTAAATTATATTACAGTTAATTATAGTACTAAGTACTATAATTTCGTTTAAAGCATTAAGTATTTTAAGTGTTATCATTTAAGGATCCACTTGCTCGCTTTGAAATCGTTGAGTTTGTCAATCAAAAATTCGTTAAGTTTTACAAAATATGATGAGATAATAAAACAAATTCAAAATTCCATATAAAGAAAGAATGAAGAAATAGCGGGCAGTGAAATTCAAAATTCCATATTCAAAATTCATATGAAATTCAAAATTCCATATGAAGAAATAGCGGGCAATATTACCTGGCGGTAAAAATTTGTAAAGTGGTACGCTGTTTGTCAACGCAAAATGCCTTTTCGGAACTAATATCCTAATCTCGACTAACGTACCTTTTGAGCTAAAAATAGAAGCAGCTTATGTTGAAAGATCTGGAATGACGAAAACCAAGTAAATACTATATTTGGTACTACAATTTCGAATTATTTATTACTAATATTAAAGCATACACAGAAGTAAATTTCTTAATACATGTAATTATGCTCTTTCAGATGTTATCCATATGGAGGCTTTAGTTGTTCTTACACGTTGCAGAATCAAATTTGCCAGCTTATTTTTGTAATCTAATGATCCACTATTTCAGTATTTGCATTAATACCGAAGTAAAACGATAGGTCTACCATTTCCTAATGTGTGGTTTGGGCTCAATGTTAGTAGATAAAATTTTAAACATTAAAATTTAGTAATTTTGTTAGTTTGTATTTAACCGGGGAGTACTTGCAGTCAAATGTGAATGTTGGTGTTGAATCTACGCAGAGTTAGAATTAATAACGTTATATAATGCTACAGCAAAAGAATGGCTATCTTATTAAATAGAAAATACACAAAACCTTAACAGGAAAGCAGAAATTCTCAAATTAGAATGCATCTAATTAGTCTAACTGACAATTATACAATCATTTATTCCTAGTTGCAGTTGGCTGAATTCTACCAGCAAGAGCACGCAATATCAAAAGCAAATAAATCGAACAGCTATCCGTAAAGAAACGGGAGAAATTTAGCATTCATTCTGAGGACCTTTTTTTCATTCTAATATCTTGTATGTCGTCGTATAATCCCTATGCTCTGAGGTAATTGTTTTAAGCACGTGTTCCGTTATACACGGGCTGGACCCAACTGAGAAGCCTCCATAACAGACAGCGGGTGGGTCATCCAGTCAACGGTCACTTTCGAGAGATAAGTTGTATGCTAATTATGCTATCGCCCCAGCGTCCCAAACCCGGGACGGCAGAATAAGAAATTCTCTCATATCCACAGAATCACCACAAGGGTAACAGGGATCACCACTTCCTACACTCAAAGACTATTATTAGAGGGAACAATGCAATTGAAAACCTGGAGATCTGACTAGTCGTCAAGATGCTCCCATTAGTATTACGCGGGCTAAGACCCATAACCCGTGTGTTAACCACATCAGACTGAGTGTAGAGTTAGGACATCTTTCCTCATCAACGTTTCCACCAGCCTCTGGCATGCCAACCGCCTGACCGGAGTACAGAGTTTTTTACATCTCTCCTTACAGATTCCAAGTCTTCGCCAGTCCACCCTTGGTGAAACTATAAACCAATATAAGACGATCTGCCGTTGGGATTCTGGAACGGACAGGGCTAGTGTTTCGGTTCCCTCCAGAGTGCTACTGCCATAATAATGTACTAAGTTAGTATGGACATCCTTAAAGGTATGCTGTGGGGTAACGTCACTTGACGGTTTTCCAAACCTTTTTCGATGTGGGCGATACCTTTGTTTGGTAAAATCTACTTTTGATTTTTTCTCATTTGGCAGTCGCCGAATCGAGTAATCTATAATGCATAGTGTTTGTTTTGTTTGTTTATGTGATCACGGCAAAGCCTCGAGGGCTATTTGCCTACGGGGAGGGATGTCTTCATCGAGGACTTTCTAAGGTAAACTGTCTCGTGTACACGTTACACATGGGAAAACCACGAAAATGCTCATACAGCCAACCTGTTCCTGACCAAACTATTAGTTCAGCAACTTTGTCGCTCGGCCGCTGGTAGGCCTATAATCCATAGTGATTCTTTCTAAAAAGTCAGAGTTTTCACAAGAAATTAAATGAAAATGTCGAAGGGAGGATTACTAGATAAATGGTATATTTTCCCACTTAAGTATGGGGAGAAAGACCCCCCACTTATGTGTGGGAAGAAAGATTAATGAAATGGTTACATAGTTTCAAGGTAAAGTGAACTGAGCAGATACTATATCATGAGCTTTGTCACACGGTGATAAGTAGTGCCACTACTGAAAGCCTGTCTTCTGTAGATATTTTTCAGGGCACCATTTTTATATGTTAACTGTCGTGGAAAGAATGGTGAAACTAACGTAACTTGTTGGTTTGTTTGATATATCAAATACGGTAAAGCCACGAAGGCTATTCTGGCAGGCGAAGCATGTTGGAAAATTATACAGTACACTATTTGCTCAATTCATTATTACACTATTTGTAGTGAATTTTAGATTTTCACAAAGACTAGAAAAAGAATTCAATGCATGCATTTCAATTTTGTTTGGTGCTAGGATTTTATGCCTTTAAAATTTAGCTTTTAAAACAAAACTGGCAACTTAATAAATATTTTTTATTTAAATTTAGCGGTCAGAAACATTTTATAAAAATTTTAAAGTACGTTTTCATAACTAACGCAGTTCAAACTATCAGATTTTGAAAATTTTGACAGTTTATTTTAGCACATAATGTGCTAAAACGACTGATTTAGGAAAACCGTTATTGCTTAAGCAAACATTCGATGGTTCTCTATTTAAAGGTATGGATAAATTAGCTGAAACTACCTAATAAAAAGCATTTTTCGGTATATGAGGTAATTGCGAAAATCCTTCGCGCCCTTTTCTAAGAGTTTAACCCCGAATTAAGTACCATTGTCTAGTAGTCGCATCAAGCATTAGTAAGTTTTTTGGTAATTAGTGTAAGAGAACTTAATAAATGTTGTTTGCAAATTTGAAACGATCGAGTATTTAAACTCGAAATCTGCATCTTCAAATCGTTCTTGATTTCATTACAGTACATATTTACAAAAATAAAAAGACTACCAAGAATAACAATTGTAGAAGCTCTCTTATACATAGAAAATAATATAAGGCCGGAATAATTTAACTTTTAATTGGAAATCATGCAAAGGTATGAATAATTGAATGAAATTTATTTTATCGCTGAATTTTGTATTTATATTTACAAGAGTACCGTTTATTCTTAATTTTATTTTATTAAATTTTATTTCATTTATGTGATTATATAATACTATCTACTACAACTTATTTAAAAAATATCATTCATTGTAATTGGCATCGCGCACTTCCAACAGAAAATTGGGAAAGACTATTTATTCATCTAATTTTGCACAATATGTTCATCCATTTCCCGAATGGGCGGCTTTTGAAGCGATTTAGTGCAGTTTCGTCGCTGGCGCAATATTTGTCAAAATTGCATTTAACTATTATTCATAAGATAGGGAATATTCGGTAATAACATATAATCAATCCCACTGACTGTAAAAATAGCCAGGGAGGACGATTTGGCTCGAATTGTGAATGAGAGTGAAACTGTAGCCAAGGAAAGTGCTTTGGCGCCAGCTATGAATGAGAGGAACAAACACATTCAAAACATGTGTCCTTTCGTTTCATGTACCTCGATTTATTCTCAATTAGACACTTTTCGTTTCTATGAACAATTATATAAATTAACTATTATTGCAGTATTTTTTCCTTGAATTTTGTAAGAAATAATGTTTAAATTTGTAAGAATGTATTAGGGCTCGCCTTCTGTAAGATAGCAAGCAGTGATTATTAAAATTTAAGCGGTGATTAAAAGCCTTTTTAATGAAACGCAAAAATGAAGCGATTTGCTATAAAGATTGTTTATTAAATGAAGAGGCACGAGTTCTTCAGTATTCCACAATAACGACTGGCGCATTTTGGCGGGATTCATGCTTCGAAGGTAGGCAACTTTCACGGTCGACGAGATAATACGTAAGTACAGATTATTCTATTATAACAAAGTTAATGAGAGTTATCCGACTAAATTATGGGGAAATAGTGATCCAGAACACATCAAGGTTGCAGAAATTTCAAACATGTTTCATTGCAGCATATTCCATCTAGAGTACTTCAAATGATGCGATAATAATAATCCCGATATACATGCTTAATTATAAGGCTAAGAAATATAACTTTAAAATTGATTTCGTCTTAATTACTGGAAAATATAAGCAAGTAACACAGTATTTTGCAATTATGTTGGCCGTTGACTTAGATAAGCCATGGGCAATTAAAACCACAGTTTCACATGTAGTAATGCCCTTTTTCACTTTAAGTACCTAAAATAAGTAGAAATTTCAAACATGCTTTATTGCAGCATATCCCATCTAGAGTACTTCAAATGATGCGATAATAGCAATCCCGATACATATAGTTTAAATAATAGGGGGGCCGGTAATGTCGTTTCTGCGCATAAGGGCAGAAGTGGAAGCAAATCCATGTCAAACACTCTTAAGCAACCTTGGTCGACCACCCAAGAACATTTAAAGCAGAATGGAAAAATAAGCAAAGCAGGTGTTTGAGTCCCCCATAATCTGTCCGAAAAGCACAAAGCCAACCTATTCATCACATGCAACGTATTGCTTCAACGGCACCATACAGAACCGTTTTTTGATAAAAAAAAAAAAAAAAAAAAAAAAAAAAAAAGAAGAAGTCCTATATGATAATCCAAAACTTAAAAGGCAGTTTTAATAAGGGTTACAAAGGGTTTACATCCCGAAAAGGTGCTTCTGAGTGTCTGATGGAGTATGCACGGAATTGTTCATTTTGAATAGCTGAAACCTGGTCTGTTAATGCAGACCTTTATTATGAACAATTGGATGGAGTGAACCAATTTTTAATCGAAAAATATCAATTGTGAACACAAAAGGCTTCATTCTGCAACATGACAATGCAAGACCGCACTGTGTAAGACGAACACTGGAAAAAATTAATTAATTGGGGTGGGAGGCACTGCCATACTCACCCACCATACTCGGCAGATATCGCAGCATTGGATTTCCATTTATTCGGATCCCTACAACATTTTCCTAGTGGCAAAATATTTGAAAATTTGGATGATGTCTAAAAATGTTCTCGCGAGATATTTTTACTCAAAAACCAATTGATTTTTATCGGTTCGGGATTGAAAATCTGCACATTAAATGGCAAAAGGTTGTTGATAACGAGGGTGATTATATTATTGATTAAAAATAAAAACTTGTTAAAAATGTATTCGTTTGAATTTAATGTAAGAAAGCGACATTACTTTCCGCTTCCCCTATTATAAGGCTAAGAAGTTAATCTGTAAAATTGATTTCATCTTTATTACTGGCAAATATAAACAAGTAACACTGTATTTTGAGATTATGTTGGCTGTTGAGTTAGATAAGCCATTGGTCATGAAAAACACAGGTTCACATGTAGCAATGCCCCTTTTTCCCTTTCCGTACCTCAAGTAATAAGCTGCGGCTTCATTTAGCTCAAGTCAAAATATATGGAATTATCGCCTTGTCCCACTTTTTTTTTTTTTTTCTTTCTATATTTTTTTTCTTTCTAGTACGTTCAGCTGTCACCTCGAAGGTCTAGCGAGGACGCAGCTAATTTCTTATACTTTGTTTCAGGAAAAACAGTTTCTTATATTTTCTTGTTTCAAGAAAATTCCAATACCAAATTACTCTCTACGAAAATATTTGTTTGTAGAGAGTGTTTAGTTTCTTAAGTACTCTCTACATATGAGACCCGATTTCACTTCCATTAACTAAATATTAAATTCATTCTGGAAAAGGCCCGCATGATTTCTTGCCTTAGACGCTATGTCTCCATGTTAAGTATCTTGCTAAATATCGCTTCACTACACACGCAGAAAACAAGGAAACCCAACTCAAACAGCCATTTGGCGAGGTGTCACGTCGGGACGAACTAGCAGCTTTAGCAATCGTAAAATTAATACTTAGTATTATAACCTTTAATTCCGTGAAATAACATCTAATTTTATTACTTTTCCAATTATACAAATAAAAGCATGGAAATAAATGCTATGGGTAAAATCCTAGTATACGGTGCAGCCTTGGCGCGATTTTGAAAATTATCGCCAACATCAAAAATGATCCATAGAACGTCTTTAAACTATATACTATATACTATGTGAGTATATACATAATATATACTATATTTAACTATATATATTTTTTGAATGACCCGTTTACTATTCATCGTATATGTCCCGTTTTTACTGCTCATCATAAAGTCGCCAAAAGTAGCCAAATCTCGTGTGCACCGGATACTAGGATCAAACCATGCTATGTTAATACGATACCGCCATATTGTGACTTTAATACGCTAATGAATGTTATGTTAAATTCTAGATTTATTGAGGAAAGCTGTTTTAAAGTATGCATGCGAAATAAAAATAAGGATATTTTTGTTATGCAACATTTTCCAAATTTTGGACTTTAGAAAACAATATATTTAAACATTAAAAGTTTCGGACAATCTGAAACGACTTCTGAGCACTGTGTGTATATGTTATTATGGCTATTTGTCTAGAGGAAGGGATGTCTTTGTGGAGGACTTTCTAACGGAAACTCTCTCGTACACATGTTACACAGGGGAGAAACCACGAACACGAGCTAATCCGTTCGTAGGATTCGAACCTTCCCGTCACTGCGTGAAACGTCTGGGGCTCATTTTAATGGCTTTCACGGCTTTATTTATTGTTTAAGAATAAGGATATGTAAAGTACTATTACACATACTTAGAGAAATTAATTATCCAGATGCAAACAAGTATAGTTCACAAAACAGCAATGTATTAGTGGGAAAAATTAAATGAAAAATAGTTTTATCTGTCCTTTTTCTGATACTAGGGACAAGCATTAGAAATTTTGCAAAGGAAGGACTATCCGCTTCTAATACTTGCCCAAAACTACTAGCCCGTATTTTCTCACATATACGATTTGGTTTGGTTTATTTGACTATGGCAAAGTACTCGAGGGGTATCTGTCTAAGGGAATGGATGCCTTCGTGGAGGACTTTCCAAGGGGAAGTGATTTGTATATAGGTTACACATGCAGCCAGCCCGTTCGCGGTATTCGATCGTCAAGCCGAACTACTAGTGTTCAGCGACTTTCTCGCTCGGCCGCTGTCCGGTTCTCACATAAATATGAAAATACGAATTTAATCCTATCATCAGACTCCAACACCTGAAGTGGAAATTTAGACTTAATTTGTCAAAGTGTTATGGGTATAGCCACTAGAACACTAGTGAGCCAAGATTAGATACATTTCACAAAATTGATCTCAGATAGAAATAAACTTACACTTACTTCTAGATAGATTTGGAGTAGATTGACATGTCGTTACAGTGATCAGAAATATTTGTGGAAATAAATATAGCGAGTATATTAAATATCTAAGCATTTTAAGGAAAACTTTGGCCGCTTTACACTTCCAGTAATAGTGAAAACGCCGAAAGCGTTTTAAATCTGGAAAAAAAGGGGAACAACATTTTTCATGCTAAACATAAATAATATAGCATAATACTAATTACACATAAAAATTAAATTTATGCATTAATATCTTTACATGGAATTTCATTGCAAGGTTTTAATTCACTAAAACAGTTTTATGGAAATATGGCGTATGTACACGATGTATCCTAACTTTGAGGAGTTAACTCCTTTTTTGAGGGAAAAAAGTTTCAGATGACAATCAGAATTATAGGATGATTAATCAATTTCAGAAAATATCACATGCCTTTTAAAATAGAATGTAAAGTGCCTTACCACAAAGAGCAAGAAATTATCTAACAAAAATTTGAAGCACTTGGTGTGTTGATTATTATAAATAGGTAAATAAACTTCGCATTTATTAAATTTCATTAATATATAAAAGTATTCTTTTAACAATTGGAATACTTAAAGAAATAAACATTTTATATTAAAAATTATATTAATGAATAAACTTTACATAATCCAGCTCTGATTAATCTAAATTTACAAATCTGTAAACTACAAAAATTATTACTTAATGTTACGGTATCAATTATTCAATACTGGGTGTATAATAATAATATTTTATATACGAAATTCAAAAAACGAGTATTAACGTAATTAAAACATTAAACTTAGATATAACTCAGACGTAGCTTACCTTAGATAACAGCATTTGAGAAACAATTTAATGTTAGAAATGTAAGTGTATAAACAGCACAGGATTTTAAAAGTTTCCCTGCTGAAAATTCCTTTAATGAAACTTTATTATTTTACTTACAGTTACGGTTATAAAAAATTGTTGCTCGACGCTACTACAGATATTTTAATTTCCTAGCATTGAATGATAAGATACTTCATTTAGTTTTCGGTAAAAAATCCAATATTTCTAAAAAAAGTAAAAAATTTCAGTTGTGTCTCAAATATTTTTGTCATATTATATTTAGAAAACTAGTCTCTTGAATCTTAAGATTCAACAATTTTAATCATGTATTTCGTTCTTTTCTTACTTCCTTATACGAAGTAAAGTATAATTCCTTATACGATGTATTTCATGATTAAAATTGTTGAATCTTAAAATTCAAGACACTACTTTCCTTATCCAAAGTAAAGGAAGTACTGTAATCGCGAAAATTTTCAGGTGGCGTATTTTAACGAAAATAGCCATTTTGACCGATCTAGAGCCCATTTGAATGACTTTTTTTTTGTACGTATACAGAATAATGCACTGTTTTTTTACGCTTTATAAGATGGATTTAAAATTGATTCAGAAAAGATTTCTTCGTGACTTCTGTACATACGTGCGTATTTCACATAACTCAAAAATGAGCAGCAGTAGAACGTCGAAATTTTGTATATGGAAGTGTTATAGCATTGCGCTGCAATTGGCTGCATCAACGTATATATTATTCTCACCCTGCTACCTGTCCTGGTGAGCTCAGTATTTTTTTTATGCGTTAGTAAATTGTGCATTTTTTGCTTGAATTTCTTGGTGAACCGAAGGTTCAGTGAAATGGTCACCTGGTTAAAAACCTATTCCAGAAGACCAGCAATTTTCTATTTTTCGAAAATTGACGAGCATAGTTCTAGAAAAATAAGGTGCAAGTCCAGGTTAATGTGAACAGGTAAGTCGATGTTTGTTGACAAAGTTACTACATTGAGAACCGAGGCAGACGTACGGTAATACTTTCGGAGGATAGCCGTAGCTGAGTGCATAGCTGGATAGAGAGCTTAAGAAGAACAGTATAACTGGCGCCATCTATTGGCCGTTCCAGAAGATCTTGAAACGGCAGGAGTGAGAGCAGTGTTGGGCCAGAGAGGAGGAAGGTGATAGGTGGGCGAGAAATACTCAATGTGCAGGGGGAGGGGAAGGGATTCTTTAGCTTGAATTATGTTTATCTTATGTTCTGAATGCAAAATCTGTGGAATTGTGGAACAGTTTGAGGGTTTAAGTCGTACTAAACCTAAGGAGGTCGCCATTCGTTTAAATTTGAAACTCTTAGATGAATAGAGAATTAACGTAGTTGTTGCACCAATTTCAGCAGTGTCTTTTTGCCCAGTGGAACCAAAATATTTTGAGCACCGAATGTTTGGTCTTCGAGCCCATTCACCGAATTGCTCGTTTTGATGTAGAAACTCTAATTTTAATTCCAAAAAGTTGTTTCTTACTGTTTTTAATTCTATATCTTGTTTTAGGTTTTTCTGTATTTTACAATTTTTCATGAAGCTGTTTTGATTTTTTATGTATTTTTGCCTTGCCACGAAGTAAGAACTAAACTGATTGAATGAGAAATATATCTCTAAGGAAATATGTTTAAATGAAATGCAGCAAAAAATATGTGAAATTTAATAGGCCGTACAAGGAAGTCATGAATTGCATTTGATGTTTTACAAATCTTCAAGGTGCAATGAAAGATGAGAGCATCTTTCATTGCACCTTGTCGATTTGTGTACTTTGACGATTTGAGTTCACAAATGATGACTAATCGCTTTTATGTAACAATAATTCATCTGTCTGTATTATCAACACGTGACTCTAGTAATTAATATCATACCAAAATTTAAGGCATAAGCTTGGGCTATTAGGTACACTGACTACCAATAAGTATTTGGACACCTATGCAAATGACGATATCTGCGGTCCTAAGGTACGTCACGGACCCGCCGGTATATATCGTGTAGGAAACAAAGCTGTATATATAATAAAGGGTCGTCAGCTCAATGGACGAACCTGCGCTTTGTCGCGATCGCAGCGCTCCTGGTGGTTGCGCTGTGGAAACACAATTAATTGAACTGCGCATGCTCCCCATTTATAGTTGTTTTTGAACGTAATGCCCATGCTGGTTTCAAGAGCTCCTGCATTGATTTGACTCACGTACATTTTTCTTTGCAGTTTCTATCAAACGGATCTTTTCAGACCCAATTTCATTATTATTTTCATTTTTTCTGACATAATGGCTTATCGCTACTGCAGATTTAAAGGCTGTAATAGAAAGATTGAATCAAAAAGTGATGGAATACATTTCTACAGATTTCCCAAGGAAGAACAAAGGTTAGTACTAAATTATTTTATGATTTCTTTCCACTTTTGTCATAAAAAATTATTTCGTTAAATGTAATTTATTTGTATCTCATCCTGAACTTTTGCTAAAAAATTTATAAAGTACCTCAAACTCGGAAACAAAAATTGATATTTAAAAATTCGGTTAAAGTGCAGAATCGCCCATTTATTTGTTTGGCGTTTATTTGCCGCTTCAGAAACAAAAAAAAGTGAAGCTTAGACCTTTTCTTCCCGCAATATTGCACATCCAGAGTTATTTATATTACAGTTCCTTTAGGTTTGGCACATTATAGCCACCTAACCCTGTTAAAAGTAATGGTGTTATTTTTGAAGCAACTTAAAAGTTGTTAATGAGGATAATCACAAAGTGTTAAGAGAGAAATGTTTGAAACAAAACAAATTACAGTACTTTTATATTAACTGCATGCTAGACTAAGCTACTGGCGTGAATTATGATAAAAAATAAAAAAAAAAAAATGATCTTTGATTGTTAAGGTGAAATGATTGATAAAAGAACATGCTTTTAGTTTGTAAATCTATTTTTAGGAATAGTTTACCAATTAAAGGTGTAGGCAAAATGGACTGTTTTCAATAGTAAACAAAATATGGATGTCCAAATTACAGGTAAACGATTACGTAATTGGAGAATGGGTATCAATAGAATAATGAAGTTGTTTTATCCAAGTGAAGTGATAAAAAGTAAATGACTCTTACTGTGTGAACGTGATGATTCCCGTGGGCCATGAAATTTGCTGTTTTGGTCCCCTTAGATTGAAAAAAATATTGTCAAATTTATTTTTTCTATTCATTTTTGTTATTTGATATGAGAAAAAAAATCGTATTAGTCCGTATGACATTTTCATGGAGAGGGTTGGGGGCAAACCTATAATAAATTGTTCAATGAAGACACTAGTTTTGCTTTCATCTTTTCAGGAAATACAATCTTCAATTTAAATGTAGGGGAGAGGGATAATTCACATTAATCAATATTTCATTATCTGTTATTTAAAAGTATGCTGGTGTTTCATAGATGCTTAAAAAAGTAAAATTGCTTCATGGAGAGGGGGCAGTATTAGGGTTATCTCCAGAACACTAAATTAATGCAATTTATATTATACATTAAACTAATGCAGTTTATATGTATAGTTATTTATTTTCCATCTTTTTTTGTTTTAGATGTCAAGCTTGGGTCAAGGCTTCGCAGAATGAAAAGCTTGTGGGTGTTCCTGCCTCTGACCTACACAAAAGAGCCTATCTATGTATGGTACATTTTGAAGACTGGTGCTTCGTTAATATCACTACTAAACATCGTTTAGTACACAATGCAGTACCATGTTCTACAAAACTCCAGGTGACAAAGGGTTTGGTTCCAGATAAAGTGCCTGAGTTAAGTCACATGACAGTGCCAAATTCTGTGACAAATGGTTCAGTTCGAGATAAAATGCCCGAGATAAATCATATCACAGTGCCAAGTTCTGAACATCATCAGTCAGATTTTCAACAGGAATTAATATCCAATGTTCAAGGACCCAATAATCTTTATCAAAATGTCTGCTCCACTGAACTTTCAACTTGTAACGCTTCTTTAATGTCTCTCACTCCACAGCAGTCATTTTCAACACCAGTGACCTGTAGCACACCGAAGTCACATTATTCTGGGAAAAAATACACACCCAAAAAATCACAATTGGCAAAAAAAGTTAAAAAATATCGTGACATGGCAAGACGGCTGAAATTAAAATTTGTGTCATCTAAGAAGAGGCCCACCAGCGGCCGAGCGGTAAAGTCGCTGAACACTGGTAGTTCGGTCCGAGGTTCGAATCCCGCGAATGGCTGCATGGCATGTGTAACGTGACGATCCAGCTCCACGAAATTAAATAGCCCTTGTGCTTTGCCATAATTAAATCATCTAAGAAGAAATTTTCTACAGCTCATTCTCTTGAAAAAACCCTTTCCAGTCAAGGAGTTAGTAAAAAATTATCTTCTTTTATTCAACGCCAGGTAACATTGAATACCCAGAAAACAAAAAGAAGACGTTTTACGCATTCAGATAAAATCGATGCCTACCGCATCTACAGCAAAAGTCGGGCAGCTTATCGTGTTTTGAAAGAGTTCCTTGAACTTCCAGCTGAACGAACTCTTCAACGTTTTGTCTCATCAAAATTGTCATGTACAGGAATCAGTGCAGATATCATATCAGCACTAAAACAAGTTTTACAAAATAAGGAAAATCACGAAAGAATGTTTGCATTGATCTTTGATGAGATGTCATTGAAACCCTGTCTAGTGCATGATAAACAAAATTATCGCATAGTTGGATTTGAGGACTTAGGTGGTTTTTCCCAGTGATTCAATTGCAAATCATGTACTAGTATTAATGCTGAGAAGTTTAACCAGCAAGAAGAAACTTCCACTTGGATTTTACTTCTCCAACCATGCAATAAATGCAGAAAGACTGAGAGAAATACTCACAGAAGCTTTAACAAAATTATCGGATGCTAATGCCATAGTTAAAGCTCTGGTTTGTGACCAGGGGGGAAATAATAGTAGGTTGTTTAGAATTTTAGGAGTGGATTCTCTTAAACCATTCTTTGATTTTAATGGACAGACTATTTATTGTTTGTTTGATCCACCACATCTTTTGAAAAATTTGAGGAGGAATCTTATGAAGTATGACCTGCAGACAAGTAAAGGATTCGTATCTTTCAAATACATTCGAGACTTCCATGAAGTAGATAAAACACTGCTTATCCGCTGTGCACCGAAAATGACTGATGCACACTTAAATACAATGGGATTAAACTCCATGAAAGTTGCTCTTGCTGCACAAGTGTTCAGCCACACAGTAGCAGCAGGAATGAACCTGTGTATTTTGTCTGGACTGATAGAAGCAAGTGCTGCTCCAACAGTAGAGTTCATTCTAAAGATTGACAATTTGTTTGACTCCATGAATGGAACTCGAAAGAATCCTTTAAGAGGAAAACAGCTCCATTGTGCAGTGAAAGAAGGTTCTGCACATATTAATTTTTGGAAAGAGATGATAGCATATGTTGAATCATGGGTTTTTTTTTGCAACCGCTTGCACAAAACCAAGATGGTCCAAGAAAGCATGCTTCAGGACCACGTAGCAGAATAGGCTGGTTGCAAACTCTCAGAGCAATACTAAAACTTTCTGAAGAAATGTTACATGAACGGGAATATTTTATGACAAAGAGGTGCAATCAGGATTGTCTTGAAAATTTTTTCAGTCGTATCCGAGGGAGTGGGGGCAATCGCACAAATCCATCTGCTTATGAATTTTCTTCACTTTTCAAGATTGCATGTGTAAATTCTTTCCGTAACACAAATAAGTTTTCAAATTGTGAGCCAGATGGGGAATAAATTTATGTTTTTCATTTTGTCTGCAGTACCATCAACTACAATTGAGGAAAATGAAGTACAGAAGGAGGAGGTGAAAGAAGGACAAATTACAAGTAATGATGATTTTGATGACTCTCTTGTCATTGATTTTGATTCCCCTTGTCAGGATGCATGTTTTGAAAGACTTGATAATTTGTCACAAAATGTTGTTGCTTATCTGAGTGGATATTTATCCAGAAAGGTATTATATTCCTTGAATCTTAATGAGTGTGATATATGCAGTATTTCACTGACAGACAGAACAAAGCCAATGCTGCAGCATACTCTATTTTTATACCTTAAAGAATATAAAAATCAGGATATAACGGAAGGAGGATTGACACATCCGTCAGAAAGCATGACAAAATGCATTGCTGAACTTCTTCAGAAAGCAAATAATTTTTTTCTCCCACCACTTGCCAATATGTAACATTTTGCAAAATCTGAAAAATGTGTTATCACAGTTACCAGTGTTTCAGTTTTTGTGCTGTGAACTTCATTCAAATGATGTTAAAAAGAAGATTGTATCTTTTGCCTCTGCTTTTTTTTTTAAAAATTCATCTTCGGGAAAAAAATAGAAAAATTAGTAAATATAACACAGATCTGAAAAAACTACAAAAGGGGAAACATTAATAGAAATGTAATTAACTAAATTAAAAGCAAAGGGTGTATGTGCTACTTTGTGTGAATTGCTGAGGGTTTTTTTTTTTTCATATTATTATGTATTCATGGTTAGTATGCTACAATAATGTGTGAAATATATATTCTTTCTGTTGTAAACATTGTGTGCATATTCCTCATGGATATTTCTTTTCATTTAACCTACTGCTTAAACCATTATACTATTTTATTATTCATATTGTATATTACTATTGTAAAGCTGTCATTTTTTATGCTCTATATTGCAAACAACGTAATTTAATGTATTGATAAAAATAAAAAATAAATTAATTATTAACTTGTCAACAGTTATTTCGTAAATGTTATTTAATGTTAACTTGTTATTTCGAAATGAAAAATATTGCTTTTTTTTTCCATTTTCACTTTGGATATTCTAAATTGCTCTAATGTGTACAGCATTGAATTATGTCCATTTTAAGGTAAATTTGCAGAAGGATAATTTCTTATGAGTTTCCAAACATCTTTTCAAAAATGGGCTTTCTTATTTCCAAAGTGAAAATTGTGTGTCAATACAAATCATTTGAACCGATTATGGCATGACATCTAATTATCACTTTGGTATTCATGCTTGTTTCAGTATTTTATGGTGGCAATTATTTTGTTATTTATTTTTTAAGTGTTTTAATGCATTATTGAAAATATTTGTTACATATACATTTACAAAACTTTGAATTTTTAACAGAGATATAAAAGTGAAGCAGCTTATGTTTCCACTTCTCAACTTTGTTTATATAAGGGAATATTAATAATTATTGATTAAGATAAAAAATTGATACTTCTTAATTTATAAGCAATGTAAAGACAGGAAATCTGAGATCATTAATTTCTGAGACATAAATAGCTTTCCAAGATGCAAATAAAACAGCAATGATCGTAAATATTAATGCTCCTAAAATATATCCGCTTTTCCTAACTGATTTTTGCTTTTTGATCCCCCGCGGATACAACAAACCTATTTTCATTAAATGAAGTTTTATGCATTTCTCTACGGAGTACCAAAACTTGTTTCATACAACTTTATTTTAACTAATTATGAAGAAACTTTATACTTGTTTCCTAAACAAGTATTTATGTGTTTGTTAAGTGAAAACAGGTTGATGTGTACATGGTTAAAGTGAAGGGAATGTGCAATGCCAAGTTTGTGCAATTCTCTGATTTTTTTGAAGTGAAAATAGGTCATTGTGTACATGGATACCAAGTTAAAACTTTTTTTAAAAATGCCTTTACTTCGTTAAAACAAAATGGCGTCGAAAAACAAACTCGCAGGGATGGTCGCCAAAAAATCGCCGAGTTACCATGAAGTAAAGATTCACTAAGGTCATTTTCAAAATATATTTAAGAAACACTATGACACAAGATTGGGTGTTAATAAATCTATCACTATTGAGCGTTGAAGCTGAAATGGATGTTCAGGTATTGATAAATAATTTTTCAGAAATGAAGGTTAGACACAAATTTTAATAAAGAAGGATTTTTGTCTTTATGATGAATTTTGGCCACCAGCGTTATAATTACACTTATTGAGACAGGGAGGAATTAGAGATGAAGAGCAGTACAGGATGAGGAAAATTAAAAGGAAACAGAAAAAAACTTTAGCATTCATATTTTTTTATAAAAATAATGTATTCAAGTAGTTGAGTGTACCAAAAGTTTTTTAAAAGGACAGAAAAATATTGAATCATTTTGCGGTTTTGCAGCTGAAGATGATGGTTCGGTAAAACCATCGAAACTAGTCCTGTGAAAATTTTGTAGGTATAACGCTGATTTTTGTTGTTTGACTTCTGAATTAGTATTTATTCGGCGTGTTATTGTGTCTTAATTACAGAAAAAAACTTTACCACATATTTTCTACAAAAATTATATATTCAAATAGTTTATTTATGAAGTTTATGATAAATATGTTTTATATTTAACAAATGTATCATTTATGTTATAAAAATTCTTATTTATTACTTGTATATTATTTCATAAATCATGTTCGTAAGCTGAGTGAATCACAGAGTACTATATATTAATGTAATATCTTTTCTGTACATTTATCAATTATTTTGTTTGTCAGTTTATAATATAACTAATTATTTATAAGTTTGCTAAATTAAAGTCTTAAATAATTAAAATCATCTGGCGTCAAATACCGAGACCAAAGCAAATTTGCATTTCAACAGCTGGTTAAGGGAAAATATTTTCCTTTTTATTCTTTCTTCATGTACCTTTTAACTGGTTCCCTAAGAAGGTGCTTTTATTTTTTAACAATTAATCCAGATGTGATAAAAATCATCATGAAAACATTGGCTTCAGGAATCCTTGATATTATTTTATTTTTAAGCACATTAAATTTATTGGGAGAGGGGGCCCAGGAAATGTTTTTGCATAGGAGCCCAAGAGTTCTAGTTACGCCACTGTCTGGAACATCTAATCAAGAAGTTGCTGAAAAGTGTAGTAATGCTTCATAATTATTTTATACTAATTCCTCATTTGTTTTTTAAAAAATTAAAGGTCTTATGGCTACAATTTGGCGTGGTGATATAAAGAGTTAAGTAAGTTGGTTTTCAAGCCAGGTTATTATCATCTAGTAATAAAACCAAAAATAATATTTATTTGTATTAAAATCAACAGTTTTTCTGACTGTATGTATACATTAATATTTTATTTAAAAAAAGACTGCAGTTTGGTGTAAAAGAATTTTAAGTACATTTTGTTAGTTTTATTTGTATTATTACTAGTAATAATAAAATTTTTAGTATTTTCTACTCATTGCCTGTTTCTTGAAATTATTTAATAAAATTACTCATATATAAAAACATTGGTTCTATAAATTTTTTGCTGTAAAATAAATTATATACATATGTAGTTGTTGCATCATTATTATAAAAAATCATCTGATGCAAAGTAAGAATATTTGAATATTTAGAAATTTATTTTATTCTTATTTTACCTTCTTTTTAAATTATATTATTTTTATAAATTTTTTATATTACTGGATTTCTTTTCAACCAAAACGACGTAATTTGCAATTTAAATGTTTTACTTTAAATAAACTAAATTTTTAAACAAAACCAGAAGTTTCCTTATAATAGCGGTGCTAAAACGATCAAGTTGCAATTGCAGTTCTGTTTACGAGTGACGGGGGGGAGGAAAAGACGTGGGAAGGGTTTCAACTCACAGCGCAACCGCTGCACTGAATTAGCGCTGCAGTCAACCTATCTGGCGGCAGCTAGTAATAGGGGAGTGACGACGCTTCTTTTGAAACAGCTTTGGTAGGAAACAGCATCGGCTTTAGTTGCATGCAAGATGCCTCACAGTTTGGAGCTCTCTGATTTCGAGAAAGGTATTATTACCGGGTATCACAAATGTGGCCGATCCTTAAGGGACATATCTAGCGATCTGAAGTACCCAAAATCGACAGTGGCCTATGTGATTAAGACGTGGAAGGTGAGCGGTGATTGTCGGAATGTGCCCCCAGTCGGCAGACCAACGAAACTGGGAGATAGAGACCGACGAGTGCTGTCCAAAGAAATTCGGAAGAACCGCTCCCAACCGATGGCCCTCATCCACGAGGAGTTTCAACAGGCATCCGGGAGTATTGTTTCAATGAATACCATCAGTAAGGAAGCACATCTGCTTGGTTTTCATGGTCGTCCTGCGGCCCATAAGCCTTTGATCACAAAGTCCAACCGCGCTGCTCGGTTAATGTGGTTTTGTTTCTTTGAGCTTTTATTCTTCTATGTAAGTTGACTCTATTTATTTGATTATCACGAAACACTCAAACGCTACCTGGCTGAAAGGAGGGATGCTTTCGTAACGGACGTCATAAAGGAAACTAACTCGAATACACTCTACAAATGAGGAAAACCACGAAAATATCCATGCAGCTAAACTCGTTCGACAAGATTCCAGCCCCCAGAACGAGCTACAAGTATTCAAAGACTTTAGCACTCGGTCGTTGGTGGGTTTTCTTTTATGCAGGAGAAGCTATTAGAATAACAAACTATAACATTGCCAATGTTTTTCTTTGGGTGAAATTAAACCGAATTTAGTACTGCGTTGCACAGCCGAATTCTTATCAAACTTTTCCATACCATTACGGAAAAGATTCAGAAATATGATTTTCATCATTTTTAAGACTTTTGATTTCGAAATGGTTTAATCAAAAATAAAACAAATTTCTGTAGAGAAATCCCTTTTTCTGCAGAGTGATATTAATAGTAAGTATTTTGATTATAAGCATCAGATGCCCCTGCTGCTTGAATTTACTTCAGGAAAAATACTTCTTAAAATATTTTTGGTTCCCACTAGAAAAGTAGCTTCATGTTCCTACACATATCTAGCATATAAATTAAAAACTTAATAAGTCAAATAATATTGCACTGTTAGGAGAAAACTAAGAAAACACACGAATAATGAAAATATCCACATAGAAATGCTATTACCTTTTTTATATTTCTATTTTTGCACGGTACAAAAAGCATTAACTTAAAAGGAAGTTAATTGCCAAAATCTAAAAATTCGGGAGGTATTGTATTCTAAATAGGCTTTGCTTAATAGTATAAAACACATAATATGAAGTCTGGATATTATGTACAGCCAAGTATCTGAGATTAACAGACGTTAATGGAAAAGTATATGAAATTAAAATCTGATATCGGTTGTTTTAAAAGAGTATGAAAATTCAAGGGAAATAACGGTAGATTAAGAAATCAAAGGAATCTTCGATATATTCATAGATGCCCGTTCTCAGTGTTCCGTCAGGTGATAAACTCGAAAAAAAAAAATCAAACCATCAACTTATATGACGGGGTTATTAAACACAGGTTAAGTTAGGTATAACTGCAAGGGCCACCTATTGTTTACCCTGAGTAAGTAGGTAGAGGCCCCTACAACTAACTATCCAGATTAGCATAGACTTTCTAACTAACTATCCAGATTAGCAGAGACTTTCTGTACCATTTTATTGCCAAAGCGCTACTGTTTGCTGCAACAGACATCGCAGGCTCTTGAAACAGAGGTACAATAAAAAGGGCGTAAAATTCTGGCTTAGTATAACACGAAAAGTAAAGTAAACGTAATTTGCAGTGTGTTAAATATTAATTTAGACAGTTAAAATATTGAAGCATTTTAAAGTTAAAGTTTTAAAAAGTTTAAAAGTTAAAAAAGAAAAAAAAATATTTAAAAAAAACTCTCTTTAGCTACGGGGAAACGGCGAATTGCAATACAGCCAGGCATGAGTTAAACCAAGATTATTAAACTACATGGTCTACTCTTCCCTACCAAGGTCAACCAGCATGGTGACGTCAAAGTCCTTTACTCGTATGTCTACTTCAAAAAAAAAAAGTCTGTTTCTCCAACTTCTGTGCACAAGTGTCAGTAGCTAAGCTGTGTCACGGATAGCTGAACGGTCAGCGCGCTGGACTATAAAGAGAAAGTTTGCGAATTGGGACCTCTCTTGTAACCACTGTAAATCAAAGTTAGCTATAGAGCTTCTTAACTGTTTTTGTAAGTGTATTTGTATTGTATATTGTGTAATGTAAGTTACTGTAAATTACCACAGCGCACCTTAAATAAGTGTATTTGTATTATATATTGTGTAATGCAAGTTACTGTAAATTACCACAGCGCACCTTAGGATTTGCACTTAGGGTTTTCCATCTGTATGTCATTCTCAGCTCGAGAGCCCTTCTTAGCTATTCGAAATGGCATTTTCATGATTTTATGAGATTTTTCCACGACCCATTTATTCCTGTCGCCTGTTTCTATAATACTTAGCTTACTGAATGATTAAAAAATAGCTATGTAAATATGTATATATTATTTTTAATACTTAAATTACTTTTAATATTTCGCTTCAGTTATTTTACTTGTACCATTCGAAAACTCCTTGCTATTCGATAAAGGGTGGGATCTTGAACCCAGGCGATGCACCAAAACTTTCTCACGTGTGATGGATAAGCTATAATGCTGTCTCAAGCTTAGAAATAGGTTTGACTTTTGAACAACATGACCTAGTCCTCTACTAAACTTGATTTGCCATGTCGAACTGACTTGCTGAACTTTATGCCATTCGGCCGCTAGTGGAATTTCATATATGGACATGAAATTTCATTCAGTTCTTTGATATTAGCAGGTGTATAACAGATCACTGCTCTATTTTTTTACTGTACTTCATCTATGCTGTATATCGAAAGCGAAGTCAAAGTATTACCAAATGAAGCAGGCGTTCTTAACCGGTGGTACGCAAGAGAAAAGTAGATGGTACTCAAATTCAAAAATATCGTGAAGAAAAAAAATTGTTAGAAATTTCTTATAATCGAACTCGAACTGAAGATTTCAAAAATATTACATTTGTTAACTTTTGCCTGAATAGAAAATAGCTTTAAAGACATTTTAAATAAAGCTATTAAATTTTTATTGCCATTGCCTTTTTGCACAACCTACTTGTGTAAACGAGAATTTTCTTCCGTGTTATATATAAAAATTAAATACAGAACAAAATTAAAAGTGGATCCTAATCTGCGATTAAAACGAAGTGAAATAAGACCAGACACAAAGAAATTTGTCTCTCTTAAACAGGCTCAAATTTCGCACTAAATTTTAGAATTCAAGTATTATAACTTAAATTTTGATAATAATTTAACTATTTTTAATCTAAAATATTTTTATGTTTGTATATTTAATACAAATAGCCAATAGGTGTGCAAATGGCAAAATATATTTTTTAATATTTCTATTGAGAAATTGAAAAATAATCATTGTAAAATGTAGTAGTGGTACTTAAGTTTTTCAGTTTTTATTTAGATGGTACGCGTTAGTCAAAGGTTGAGAACAGCTGAAATAAAGTGTATAGGATTTGTATTCCACCAAAAATGAGTATACAATGAGAGATCTTTCTACAAAGTTCTTTAAGTTTCAGAATTTCTTATATTCTGGTCTTCTGAAAATTACATTTTCAGCAGTTTACTCTACTGTGCATTAACGTCCAGAATATACATCTTTCACATTTTTTCTTCAATTATTTTTTATTTCTTTTATCTGAATGCATTAGCTTGGCAATTCAACAAATTTTCAAACCGACATTTCGGAAGTTTTGAAGGTCGGAGCAATGGCCAAGCATTTTAAAATAATTTTTAGCTGTTTATCCATAGAATATTAGAAACTGAGTTTTATATTTATATATTTCTACATGCGCAAATTCGCATATATTTTTGGAAGAATTCAGAACTTAATGTTGACAGATTTCCACAATATTTGAAGGAACCATTAATGAAAGGAAACTCAAAATGTAAAAGTATTTATTGAGTTGAATTATGGATTCAAACCAATTGAAACTTCCAACTGCAAATTCGCTCACAAGTACAACATACCGACATCGGATCCTGTTGGCACAGAAGTTATGAACTTATAGCAAATCTCTGACAAAACAAAATACGCAACTTTGTTATTTGTGGAAACATGACACGGAGCCCAAAGCATTCCTGATGTCCGATTTTCAAAATTAACAGATAGTGCAAACTGATAATGAATGCTTTTAAAAGGTAGATACAAAACATATCCATGTGACTTCAAATGTAACCATTCCAGAGAATCTTGACATCTTACAGGACGGGGGGGATGCGATATTTTACACCAAAATAGAGTATAATGGTCTTTTTCATCGCCAGAACCACTCCAAGCAATCTCGTATCTATAATCATGGGTGTAGACACTTGGTATCCTTGTTTCGAGTAATGCTATAAATAGAATAGAAAAAGTTGGCATAAGTGACATATTTATAACAAATTTGTTATAACTTAATGCTGAAATATAAAACAGACATTTAGCATTGTGGTATAAGATGAAATAAATATATTGTACCATGAATAGATTATGCAGCTAATGAACTAAGGCTGTATGCCTAAGGGTGAAGGCAAAAGTTTATGCGACACCAACGATGTACCATGAGTCAACTATTACTGCCCTTCCCTAATAACTGATCCCCCCCCCACAAAAATTGCAACCTTTACTAGAGTTTATGAAGGAAGGTTTGAGGAGATGAGTAACTGAAGGTTTCCAAAAGATCTAGAAGTTACCCAAGGTAATTGCGCCTTCGCGTGAGGAAGGATCACATTTGAAGAGGACACATTTACGGAAATTTTCACGCAGCTAACCAGTTGGACTAAGAATATTCAGCTATCATGTGCATTCGGTTACTGACTTACAATAATGAACTTTCGACTTCTTTCGACTTATGTTTTATACACTTGAATACATGTTCTCTATGATGTTTTGCTTTCTAACACATTTCATTTAGCTCTTGAAAGAAATATGCAGTTCGGTATTTGCACCATTTTCAGCTATCACCCAAAAACGTTCCTGCATTTTTTATGTCTCATTTGAAGAATCGCTTACAGATTCGAAACGAAGTGAGATATGCTCTAAACGAGCGATCGAAGATTAATGTAACCACTGATATGCATTAAGAGAGGCACGTTACGCACACGAATCAGTTCTTATAGCGTCAAAGGGAAATGTTAGTATCAATGCAGCGCTTTCGAGGTTATTTCTTGTACGAATTTTCAGTAGTCGTATCATGGCCTAGAATATGTTAGGGGTTTGGGAGCATAAGCGATAAGCGAACGAAACACGAGGCTTTGGCTCCAGAGGTTCAGAGCGGAAGATTTTAAAACATACCCACCCCCAGCAGGCGTCTATGATTGTCCTGAAGGCAACCACATGAGTCGAGCGCTTCCAGGTGTCCTAGGAAATACTCATCTGAACCATATAGCGAATATGTAAAGATTGAACAAGAGGATACCGTTGCAGATTGTTCAAGGAACAATGAGTTACAACATGTCTGTCGTTGCTATATGGACAGCAAAACACATATTTATGGTCGAGTGCTTACAAGTGACAAAAATGGGTCTAATGACCCTCCCACGTGTACCAGACGTTATTACCATATGACCCTGCTGATCATGCTCTGTTTCTGGTGGACTAATAAAGTGATGCTTCTCGAATACTACCAAAAGGTCCACTATCACATTGAGAATCTGTATTCGCAGAAGTTGCAATAGAAAGAGTCAAAGTTTGTTGATCGCAACATTGTCAGTCATTGGAGGCACAGTGCAATGACCATATATGGCAAGGACGAGCAGGATACCATTTAACTACTTGGCTGGCTGATATAGTTGCGGATACAAGGTAATAAAAAAATCGGGTTGCAAATACAAGGTAACCAAGAGAATTCTGATCTTTCGTTATCGTAAGGAGCAGACTTACAGTGGCCGGTACTTTGTGTTAAGTCGCAATGTAATCTTCACCTGCAACCAACACTCTTTTCTCTTTCTGCAGCTCCTTCCTCTAGCGATAAAGGTCTTCGGCGCAAAGCCCATAAATGCGTTCCGCTGAACTGCTTCATTGTCAGAAGGATTTCTCATAGACTTTGCTGTTCAGTAATGAAATAGGTGGGAATGTCTGAGCTCTAGGTCCAGTGAGCACAATATGAAAATAAGTCGACATTCCCACCTATTTCATTACTGAACAGCAAAGTCTATGAGAAATCCTTCTGACAATGAAGCAGTTCAGCGGAACGCATTTATGGACTTTGCGCCGAAGACCTTTATCGCTAGAGGAAGGAGCTGCAGAAAGAGAAAAGAGTGTTGGTTGCAGGTGAAGATTACATTGCGACTTAACGCAAAGTACCGGCCACTGTAAGTCTGCTCCTTACGATAACGAAAGATCAGAATTCTCTTGGTTACCTTGTATTTGCAACCCGATTTTTTTATTACCTTGTATCCGCAACTAGATATTTTTCCATCTCAAACCTGTTCAAAGAATGGACAAATATTTCTTTAACTTATAATATAATATTGAACGCTTAATTAAATAATTTAATTCAGAGTTAAATTACATTTAAACATGTGTTATTTTTGTTTATTTATTTGAAATGCATGGAAGTTCAAGAATTATTTAAAAACACTATACATTTTAATATATGGGCTTTACGAGAGACTGTGCATTTCTACTATTTAATAATATTTTTCATATGAAAAGTCCTCGATTCTCAAATATCTTTACAGTTAATGTACTACAATTTACCATGGGGAACGAAACTATCCTTCTACCGAATACTTTATCCTCGATAACTGCAAATTTTTAATTACACAAAGCATCCCCAAATGAAGCTATCAAACACCGGCTTTGCATTGTACCACTTTAAGAAGGCAAAAAAGGTCCTATAAATGTAAGAATGATGCGAGAATAGTGAAAAATCAAATAATTTGAGTTATTGGATGATTAAAATCGGTTACAAAAAGGATGAGGCGGTTGGTTGCCTGTCCTGAGTGACAGAGATACAAAATTCAGGTAACAAATAAACCAGCAATTCTCATCAACAAAATAGCAGGTTTTCGGGATTAAAATACGACGACCTGGGTTCTTAGTAAATGTTAGTTAACTGATACAGGTTAGTAAGCGACCTAGCTTTGAGTTCAAATTATAAAATCTTTAGTATAGGACATGTGAAGACAATAAAGTCAGAGTGCATGTAGGCATTAAAATAAAAGTTCGGAATGCCATCCACAAGCATTATATCATTGCTGTAGAGATTAAAATATATGTTCCAAAACGGCAGAAGTGTTGCGGATGAGTTCTTAATCAACTGACAAATTTCATTTGATGAAGTAAATGGATATGCATAAACATCCACTTCTAACAGTCTCTATGCAAAATAGTGTAACAGATTCACACGGGGAGGTAAGACGGGGCGTTTGACAGGCCTTTCACGTCTAATCAGTCTACTACCTCACGTGTTTAAGTGTAAATGCCTCAATAGCTCGTGCTAAATATATATGCTATCAACATGTCTGTCGATACATGTGGATTTTGCACGTCGGAGAGTATATACATTTTTCATGAGAAACATGTTTCAACAGCGACTTGAAACGTATTTTAAGACAGACGTATCGGTTGCCATGCTGCATCGATGAACAGTCGGCGCAGCGTGGCAATCGATACGAACAGTATCAGGACAATGACTCATGCTGCGTCGATGAACAGTCGGCGCAGCGTGGCAATCGATACGAACAGTATCAGGACAATGACTCATCATATATTTTCAAGTGGAAATGTATTTCATATCGAGTCTGGACGATGGTATGAGGGTTGTGTGTCATCTAGCTCTTGCGTGTTGTACAGTTCACATACAACTCAGCTGGAATGAGCTTCAAAATGAGCAAAAATGGGAACTTCACAACTTCTGGTCATTTTGGCCATGGCCATTCTAATAATGCTGACCATTTGTGTTGATTTCCCGAGGATAACTCCTATTGTCATTATACGTGCAATCGGGTAAAGTTGCTAGTGTTGGTAAATCCGATGAGGGTAAAATCTTAAAAAGTGACTTTTCATTATGACACATCTTGTGCGTGTCCTAAAATAAGCTGGAAATATGCCAAGCAAGCTCTTCTGGTATGGATGTTAACACATTGGCATCCAGCATATTTTTCAAGGAGAGAGATGGAGGCAGTAGTTAAGCTATTAGAAAGGTGACTTTGACTGTGTCAGTTTCTGTTAGAACAAATTCTTGCCTCTTGTACGTAATGAAACTGGGTAGCGGAAAGTAAAACTGCGCCAAGCCGTATATTGGCGAGAGAGGATTCGCTCTATGCCTTGAACCTACCTGTCTCGTACCGGAGTATCAGTCAGTTTTTTTTCCAGATATCTTACCTTTCGCCTTGGGATATACAAGGCGTATTCGGAAACTAAATACCGTTTCGAAAAAAAAAAAAAAATAGTAAAACAATTTTTTCGAATCCAATTTTATTTTTACATGAAAATACATGTCTTAAACTATTTTTCAACATAGTTTCCGCCAATGATCAAACACTTTTCATAGCGGGTGACCAGTTTTTGTATACCATCGTCAAAGAAATTTCCCGCCAGTTTCGATAACCCCGACTCCACAGCATTTTTCGTGTCATCGTTAGATTCAAAGCGCTTGCTACCAAGCTCGCACTTTATGTGCAGGAACAAGTGATAGTCGGACGGCGCCAAGTCCGGGCTTTACGGCGGATGATCGAACTGCTCCCAGTGAAACTGTCGAATTAACGATTGAGTGACACCGGCAGTATGGGGCCGAGCATTGTCATGGAGCAACACAATTCCTTTACTGAGCATTCCTCTTCATTTGTTTTGAATGGCACGCCTTAGTTATGTTAAAGTCTCACAATATCATGCCGCATTAATGGTTTCACCTCTGGGAAGAAATTCAGTAAGCAAAACGCCTTTCCTATCCCAGAACACAGTGCATATGATTTTTTGTGATGACATTGTCACTTTGAACTTTTGTTTTTTGCGAGAATGAGTGTGTCTCCACTCCATCGATTGTTGTTTTGATTCTGGTGTGAAATAACACACCCAAGTTTCATCACCTGTCGCAATTTGGTTTAAAAAGTTTTCTCCCTCATCACTGTACCGCGTGAGAAATGTCAGGGCACTACCAAGTCGCTTTGTTTTGTGAACATCAGTGAGCATTTTTGGAACCCATCGGGAACACAGTTTGCGATAATTCAAGCGGTCAGACACAATTTCGAACAAAACAGTACGTGAAATTTGTGGAAATGCCTCTGAAAGAGTTGTCATTGTGAAGCGTCTGTTCTCATGAATTGCTTCATCAACTTTCCTTACCAAATCCTCGGTGACAACAGAAGGTCGACCACTCCGAGCCTCGGCGTGGACATTTGTTCTACTTGCATTAAACATTCTTACCCACTTTCTCACCATTCCATCGCTTATCGCGTATTCACCGTAAACTTCTGTCACTTGACGATAAATTTCGGCCGGTTTAACATTCCTCGCGTTCAAAAATTTAATCACGGCACGAATCTCATAGTCAGCGGGAGAAGTAATTGTCTTATACATTTTGAATGTGCACAGCAAACTGAAAACACAACATAGAGCAACCAAAATGGCGACAATTGAAAGTCAGTGAACAAGAAAGACTAGTGCGCATGCGCGAGACGCCTACCACAGCGTTGCGACGGCGCTAGAATGAAACGATACTTAGTTTCCGAATACGCTACGTACTTCTGTAATTATCGCCTAATAGATAAGTCTGAAGATAATTATGTTTAAGAGTTTATGCAAGTTCTTTTTCAACATTTCAATTTTGTCTGTGGAGACTTTTTTTTTTTTTTTTTGTTCTACTTCAATAAAACACTGTTACTTGTTAATAAAACTGTGCCAAATAGAGAATAGTGAATCCAAAACGCCTTATCTGTGTTAATGCGCGACATATCAGTTTCTGTCGTCAAGTCAATTAAATTTTTGTACAAACACACTACTTCTCTCACTTTATTATTTATCTGTGCGTAAATGGCTTGACTGTTAATGCATGCCTTAATGGAATACAGCGATAGTCTGAAAATCTCAAATATCTCACCGTGATGCCCTAAGTAAAGACTATTTCGAAAATTCTGATCCACTTCTGGCAGCATGTCTTTAATATAACTAGTTGAAACGAGAATGTGCGTATGGATCTTCCTGTACTATATTCGTGGGAATACATAGTTCTCCTGCAGGGACAAACAGCTATCCTTGTTGCATCATATGATACTCAACGTTTCCAACCTCATAATTTTTTTTTTTTTTTTTTTTTTGCTGTATTTGTTCATATACTTTTCTGCTAATCTTTATTCTCAGAATCTTTCTTGACGTTTCGTGAACACGCTTTCGACCACAATTTCTCTTATACTTTGGCTTCGTGATTACGACAAAGGCTCAATGGCGATCTGCCTAAGTGGAGGGATGCCTTCGTGGAAGATTTTCTAATGGACCGGGCTCGTATACATCTTACACATATGAAAAACCAAGAAAATGACCATGTGGCTAGCCTGTTGGTGGAATTCGAATCTCCGACCGAACTACCAGTGTTCAGCGACTTTACCGCTCGGCCGCCAGTGGGGTCTCAGTTTATCTTATCAGTTTCTTATGCATTAAGTAATTATCAAGATAAGGAATTTGTATTTACAGGATATTAATTTATTGTCCAGAAAAATATCACGTTTGTTAAGAAATTGGTCAATTTAATGCTTAAATAAATAACCATTAACATATATTTGCATGATTCATAAACTAAAGCTTTGAAGCATCTAAGTATAAAGCATTTAAGATTTAATATACTTCAGACATCAAAGTTTATCGTATTTTGTCGAAAACTGCATTAAATTATTCAATCTATAAAACACAGGTTAAGGACCTATTTCAATAGGAAAAAAAAAAGAAAAATGGTCTTTAAATTATTGCCTACTTTAAGACATCTTTATCGTCTATATCAGTGGTATTTGGAGTCGCGGAAATTTATAGTGAAGTTGAAAGGTAGATAAAAATCCTAAAATATCTGATTTGATGCTATAGAAGTAAGGATGGACGCTCTGATCGTGAAATTGTTTTTTGGGGTCATTTGCATTTTTATGGGGTCGCACTGCAATAAATTTTGAATACCACTGGTCTATATCAAACTGCAACAGTTTGTTTTTGAATAATAATAATAAATAGTCCGAATGATTCTAACATAGTATACGCGGGATATTTTCCTGAGGAGACAGATGCCTTCCTCAGGCAAATTAACTCATTAACTTACCATGTAGTAGAAAACTCTGATAACGCCTACGAAGCCAGCCTGTTCACCAAGTTTGGAATCCTGATTAAAGTATCAGTAATACCCCACCTGTACTTTGTTAGAATCGTTTAAAGTGTAGACACTGAGAAACATTCGGACTATTTATTATTCAAAAGCACTGTTGCAGTTTGATATAGACCAGTGTTATTCAAACTTTATGTCAGTGCGACGTAATAAAAATGCAAATGACCCCCAAAACCAGTTTCACGATTCAAAGCGTTCATCCTTACTTATATCCTTGTGAAGCTATGGAGCGAAACAGACATCTTGTGTAACTGTTTTTAAGCTTACACAGCCCTTGAAAAGGAACAAGCTCCAGTAACAGATCGTTTGCATGAGCTTGTCATCAGGATTTTTTTTCCAATGGCGTGCATTTGCCTATAACGGCATTGGCCACTACTAAGGCTAGAAGTGGTGGCCATTTTATTGTGGAGGCACTTATTAGGTGCCTCCACAATGGTCCAAAAGGTGCCTAATAAGTGCCACAATAAGCTAATAGGTGGCTGCCTATAGGCAGCCACCATTGCCTTCTATGAAGAGACAGACAGTTACAATCTTGCCTTATTTGGACCCGGACCCTTTGGTACCTCAGTAGGCTGCCCTAACCACTAGACTGTCTTTGTGGCCGGATAATTATATATAACAAGCCACCATTACCTCCTATGAAGGGACAGACAATTTTACATCCATGCCTTCTCCAGGATTCGAACCCGGGCCCTTCGGTATCGCAGTCAGTTTGTATCGCAGCCAGTCACAAAGTTTGTACTGTATCTGAATGCTGTACTATATCTGTACATGTTTATATATTTTATTAATGGCACCTAATTTATACTAAAGATCACGCGTACCTCAATGGCATGCTTCATGTAAACTTAAACTATCACGATAACGCATATATATAGATGTATGTATGAATATGAGTGAGAGTATGTATACTTTAATTTGTTTCGGAATATATATGTATGTGTGTGTATATATATCTGTATCTGAGTTAGTATCTATATGTATATACATATATTTGGATTGTACTCTTCTTCAAGTTCCTTGTATGCACATGCATATTTATTTGTACATTGTTGTATTCTTCTTCAAGTGCCTTGCATGCACATGCATATTTCTTTTTTGCATTTTATAAATGTCGTCTGCTCAGCCTGGCAGCTAGTGGTTGACTCCCGCTGAGTTGGTAACCAATTCTGCAATGGACATATCTATACCTGGATCGGAAGCCAACTCAGCGGTTTACTCCCCTAACCACTATACCGTCTGGGCGGCCTTGTCACCAAAATTAATCAATGAGAACAAGCGTTATCGAGAACCGCTTCGCGGAAACTAAATTTCGTAGATTTGCGATAAACCACACCTCAAAATTGACGTTGAATATTGACGATGCTCGATATTTTTACGAAACGTTTAAGGATTTATTAACTTTAAATTAGATTAAAGAATGGAAACTATTTACTAAATATAAAAGTCACGAACAACTATAATTGAAATCGCATGATTTTGTTGCTGATTCTACGGAATAGATATATATTAAGAAAGCAATGATAAATTTTATAAGGATTAACTTAATATTTTATAAATTAATGTAAGTTAAAAAAATGAAAGCTTACATGTATCCGGATCGACAGTTATCTGTGAGGAGTTTGATGAATTTCCGACAATGTTGCCAGCAAATATTTTAAATACGTAAGGAATATTTGGCTCCATGTTTGTAAAAGTATGCGTGGTTTCTCTGAAAGTAGAAATTTCCTTTACCAGTGATTGGTACGGATTTGAAACGTGAATCCAGTATTGAAACATTCTACCATTTTCATGTTCCTTAGGAATCTTCTGCAATAAACAAAGAAGTTTTTATAGTAAGTCGTCATAATCACAAATATGCAACAAAAACTAAATTTTAAAAGTAAAGTAATTTTGCTTTAAGAATACTTACTTTCCAGTACAAAGTTATGTTTCTCTTACGTAACAAGTGTTTTTCCATAACTACGAAGAATTCACTTTTACTGATAAATGAAGAACTGGCAATTTCTGGTCTCCAGTAAGGAACTAAAAATTGATTAGAAACAGACAAATTAAAATGTGCTTTCTAAATTAAAATAGCTGTGCTTAGCTCTTCAATATTAAACTAAAATCATCTAATAAAATTACTAATGTGTGCAATCATTTCTTTCCCAATAATATTCACCCAAAAGCTTTGCAGAAACCTGTTGCCTGAAAACAGGAGTCATTTCAGTACTCAAAATTGGCGTCGAATTATGGCGTCGAATTATGACCCACTGACCCACGAAGGCTTTTTAAATGGCCCACGCGTTGATTTTTATAAACATTTTTATCGTGAAAAGCAGACAACTGAAAATATTAAAAAAATTAAAGAATATATATCTAACGTCGAATTTACGAATAAAAAAAGTATTTCCAGTTGGCCGTTGTTTAACAATGGCCGTTGTTTAACTGATTATTTGCCGTGTATCACTCAACCCTCAGCGGACGCATCTCTTGTCTCCTGCGATGATTCTTTACAGGTCACGTGCCTAGAATTTTAAATGCGCAGGTGCCTGAGTCTGATGCGGCGCATCTAACGTTCGCACGAATGAAATGCTAGAAAAGCATAAATTTCAAGGAAAACGATGATCTGTGAGATTTTTACGTAACAATTTTATTTCAATCAAGGAACTTGCTAGTGCTTTTTTAATGTGTTTGTGTCCACACCTTCGTGTGAAAAACATCGTTTTCCCTAGATGAATTTTGCAAATATAAATGCAGAAATAAATCTAGAAATGAATTGATCACGAAATGAGTTAAACTAATCAATACGGAATATGAACATATTAAAAAATTGAGGCCCGGTGGCACCACAGGTTCGAGGGCAAAGTCGACTCAGCTTTTCATCCCTTGATTTCCATCACTTAAATCGATAAAATGAGTATAGTTCGACCGCCTGATCCGCGACCATGCGCCATTCGGACAGAATTATTCTCAAAATAGGGTGAAAGGATGGAGACTTTCTTTCCCTCTTTCCGGAGAAGAGAAGACCTTTCATGTCGCAGCAAGATATACCGACTCTTTTGGACGAGTCTGTGTTTTAGCAGAATGCCAACCAGGGTTGCGCTTCAGACGGTCGAACTATACCAAGTTCGCTTGGGGACTAAACACTGGGGGATCCTGCGACAAGCTGACCACTTTTTCAGGGCATATGCTTATGCCCAAGGTCAAGAAAGCAGATTTCGGGCACTGCAGGCCTTGGCCCATTAGGGCTGTTAAGCCACTGAGTTAAGTTTTATTAAGAAATTGTCTTAAAATAAGCAACAGATTTCTCATTGAATATACTTTTATCAACTTTAATAGTTATGTTTATTAATGAAGAATATTTCATAATGTACATGTGCGTTTCATTATTCTTTGTACATTCAAATGCTCAGTGCAGAGGCAATACTGGGCATGGTGCCTCTTGGTGCGGAGTTCAAAGTATCACCGCATTAACATAAATGTTTTGACATTAACTTTTATTTTTTTGCTGTTCACTTGGAAAAGTTGCAGACACAAAAAAAAAAAAATTAACTATTTTAAGATGATTTTAAAAGTGAGAGAAAAAAAAAAAAAAAAAAAAAAAGAAAGGGTCAACTGCCAAAATTTTTCTGTTAACAAATTTTCGTTGTTTCCAAATTATTAGTACCCTTTTGAACTTTTCGGCGTCACTGGCTAGTCACCCACGGGCTAGTATTTAAAAAATACTAAACAAAATTTGACCAATTTTTCAAAAAACGTTTCGCCATCGTTAGACTAGACCAGGGTTTCTTAAACTTTTTTCAGTCGCGACCCCTCCTTTTTACCATCGAGATGTTTTCGCGACACCCTGGACCCCATAATATTTACAAAAATTTTGTGGGACCCTATAAGTATTGCGCAACTCGGACACATGCGTGAGTGAAAATGTGAATTTTTTCACTTGTACTGTAATATACTAATGCAGTTTATGTGCAAAGCAAGGGAAATGAAAGGTTATATTATAAAATGAATGCGTCGAAACGTTTTCGTTTTTTTCGTTGTCTGATCTTTATCTATTTTCAGATACATTGTGTAAAAATATTTGTTAATTGTAAAATTATTACAAGAAATATCAAAACTGCTAAAATATTTGGCGACCCCCTGTTGCATGTCCCGCAACCCCCTTGTGGGTCGCAAGTTTAAGAAAGACCAACGTTTCTCAACTTTTTGACTAACGCCTACCATCTAAAACAAAAACTGAAAAACCTTTAGTTTCACCACTACAAAGTACTACTACCACCACCACTCTTGAACAAAGCTCAGATCGCATACATTTACGAGTGGTAGAGAAAAAACTCAATCAGGATGTTGGGGTTTTAATTTTTGAATTTAAAAGTTAAAAATACTTTGCTTCTTTCCTCACCACCTATTTCTTGCGTACCACGCGTGGTACGCAAGAAATAGGTGGTGCGGAAAGAACCACGAGTGGTACGCGTACTACCGGTTCAGAACCCTTGGACTAAACCATTATTATTATACTACCAGCTTCAAGGGTGTAATATAGTCATTGAATTATAAATTAAGAATTTAAATGGAACGGTAGATTACATAATGTGTTGAAATCTGACAAATACAGTGTACTCTCATTTATCCGGGCTAATGCCGGGAAAGCACGTAACGGATAACTGAAAAACTTGGATAATCCAAGTTATCAATTTTCAAGTATATTGTATGAATTTATTTCTTGAAAAATCGGTAACTGCTTTGTTTTTGAGAACGTTTAAATATTTGTCGTATTTCGCAACGTATTTTTCGAAATATTATTTTATTCGAATCCCGTTTCGTCGACGAAGTCCAATAGTGTTTCAATAGAAGTCACTGTCTCGGAACTGATGTAATGAATTGCTAAGATCTTTTTTCGCTTGCATTTTCTGTCTCTGCCTCTTCTGTTGTTGTACATTTGTAACGATTTTCGCATCACTCAAGCTTTGAAAGTCCGGCTCAGTGGAGCAACTAACGAACTATTCCTCGATTTTTCGCGATCGACATTTCCGAAGAATTTCACATTTTAAATTTTTTCCCAAACTCTTTTTAAAAAACAAAAAACACCTTATTGCAATATCTTCAGTTATTAACCCTAACTTAGTCACAATTATAAAATTAAATTAACCACTTAAAAATAAAATAAATCTTATTTACAATTAACTAAGTCTCAGATTTCTCCATTAAGAAAAATTTTTCTCCGCGTTCAAATTTTTGTGTATATATATAATATAATTTTATATAATCTTGGGCATAGCGTTGAGTGTGCATGCCTGCCCACTGCCACTCACGAATGATCCGCACACGGGAATTCGAGGCGCCTCTGTAAATTAAAAATACAAAGGCCATATAGTAGTATAACAATATCCATTAGAAATATCAGAGTATCACTCTGATATTTCAAATATTTTCTAGGAAATACAACGCATCATCAAATTGTTCAATAAAGCATCTTTGATAATAAAAGCAATCTTTGATAAATTTGTAAAAGGGTTGCCTTTTGCGAATGCAATAATTCGATTATTACATTTCGCTATTTAATCGCCCACTGTACGTGATGTAAAGCTGCAGATGATTTTGCAACTAGTATAAAAAACTGTAGATAATTTTGCAACTAGTATAAAAAACTGTAGATAATTTTGCAACTAGTACTCTTGCTCCCATTAAACCGCAAGTTATTTTTATTCTTTTAATTAACGATTTTTAAATAAAACTTGTTTTACGAAAACCTTTTTCACGTTTTTAGTATCTATAACATGTTGTCAATGAAATTATTCGATTGAAAATACATTTTTCAACAATGAATAGTCACTTGCTTTCAATAGTTTTTTTTCACATCAAATTACAAAATTGCTTAGAATTGTTTCGACCAAAATTCCGAAAATAAATCTAATTCTTATAATCTCCATCTAAAAGATTCTTTTCCCACTATACGATGATGCAAATATTAAAATTATAAGATTTTTAGTTTGTTCATTAAACGAAGTTATGTGCTAAAAATCGCTTCAATGTTGTAAACGCCATGTTGTAAATATGCAATATTTTGGTGAATTATAGTTTTGATATTTGCATACATTCTGTCGAAAGACTCCTGCAATATCTGGCAAAGCATGCGTTTCTGTGAAGTTGATGCACATAATTTATGCTGTATTACTTTTATGTTTATGATATAGTATTCACTTACAGCAACATAGGATAGTTCCTCAACCAACACAGGATATTTTTCAAAGGCCTTGTATGCTCATTCAATTTAGCTATCTAGGTTTAAATATTGCAACCTGTTTAGCTTTCCCGGCCCTTGAAAATAATGCCCCAGCTGTTAGATTTTCTTCTCTATAGAACTCTCAAGAACGGTTGAGCACTGCAGCAGGCCTGTTGTCCTCAGGTTGGAAAAACAGAGCGAGAGCCCTTCTTGAGAAGACCAATCCATATTTAGTTCCTAGTGACTAGCCATCTTATTTATTGCGCGAAGAGAAGACTTCAAATTTTTAGGCTAAAGGTATGTAATGTATTGTATTTAAAATAAAACAATCTAAATTAAAACAATTTCAACAGCTAGGATGTTTGCTTGGCAGGTAACATAAAATTATTAACAAAAAATTTTCAATTCTGAAATATTTCTTCAAATTTTCTATTCTATCTTGTTTAAAAATTTAATCACAAATAATTGCCGCCTTTTTCGAACATCCTATGTAATTCTTACCATCAGGAAGTGTTCTCACATAAGAAGTTTTAGGATGCTTCCAATTAAAGTAATCTTTGTCATCGCTTTCTCTGCAAAGAATGTGAAACCGATATCTCGTATTAGGTATCAAGTTTGGGAAATCTAGAGATTCTTCCGGAAAAAATCCATGTTCTCTCTGAAATAGAGGATCTCAGTTAGAAATTTAATTAAATAAGCTTAAATTATATTTATGCTACAGGACTTAATTTCTAAAATTATTGCCGAACTCTGTTGAAAACCACAAAGAGAGGCAAAAATAAAATAGTAAAGTAATTAATAAGTAAAATTCAATAAAATATAAAGCGATAATTAAGAATTTATTAAATATTTAAATTAATGGTAAATAGTTGAATAATAAAATACCGAACAACATATTATTTTGGGCTCTGGCTGGAATTACAGTTCCACTCGAAAACTTAAAAAACAAAAATAAATAAATAAAGATCAGCCGGGATCCGGCTGAATTTAAGCCCTGGTTATATAGAATAATATATTACTTCAAGAAATTCTAGAAACAAAGACCTTTTTTTCACCACACCAATTTAAAAAAATGTTAAAACGTCACTAATGCTTAAACAGTAAAAGTATGATGAAAATTTTAATTGAGAAAGTGTAGCTATGAAAACAAGGAGTAGTAACACTTTCTGACAACGGAAGGATTGCCGTTATTATTCTTTCACGTTGAATGTGACAGGGATAAAAGTTTTCTGTAGAATCTAAGGATTAGCTAACACTAGTAACAAGTGAGAATTTCTGTCTCCAGTACTTGACTAACATCGTTCTAAATAGTCTGCAGGTGCTTTTTCAAGAGAAGACAGTAGCGTTGGAAAGAATACTTTACCGCTATTATAAATTCATTTTACTTATTAAGGAATAAATCTTTGAGATGTGGTAGAGGCTTTTCTTTCGATAACAAACTCAACTTCCGCCCAAGGGTTTATCTCCCAGGGAAAGAGGCATTCATTGGGAAATTAGAATCTTAAATTTAATTGGTCCCGAGGGGCTGCGGCGTAGTTTAAGCTCTTTTTTGTATAATGCTTTATAGAAAAATAACAGTGGAAAATGCGGAGAAGCTAAAACAAGTTACTCAGTTTTCTATTAAGAAATGAACACTGCAATAACGAAAGTTTAATAATGGCAGTTTAAGATGGTAAAAAGATAATTGTGGTGATTTCTGCAAAAAACATTTGCTAAATTTGAATTGAACCAACCAAAATAAATCGAATAAACTTGTTGCTAATTTAAACGCTTGGAGTTTCTTTATTCCTAGTGATGAGAAGTTTTGATACAAGCAGATTAATTCTATACCTTGAAAGAAGCGTTAAGAATCAGAGAGGTTTATGATTGTACTTTCATATAAACAAAACTAGTGTTAAACTATTTAACAATTAACACAATTAAGAGAAACAAATGTAAATGATTATTAATTATTTCTTTTTAGTCATTCAGTTACTTAATCAGTGTATAAAATTGATTTGAAATTTGAAATAAATATTTCAGGCAACGTTGAATAACAGCATCGAGACCTGGATATTTTGTTCTACGTAAAATGTTAGGATGATAAAGATCTTATGGCGATGAAATGGTTCTCAACGCTGCCCCTGGTAGCATAAACTGAAGCGACACCAGGAATACCATGTATTACATCAAAATTTAAGCATTTGAAGGTCATTGATATTAGATATAGTAACGTGTTAATTTAAGTGGAGTAATTTTCCAGTTAGGTTAAAAATAGGTGACGATGATTCTACAAATTTTGAAGTTAAACTGAATCACGTCGAATTAAAAAACATTTCTTCAAATGTGAACTCTTTCCTTTGACTGAACTTGTGTATAGTTAGTTAATACAATCTTCACATTACATTACAAATAGTAGCAGTAATCCTCTTTATTTGACCGCATGTTCCATATTTTATTTTAATTAACTCAATGTAAAGTTTACTAGCAGAACGATTGTGGATGTTTGATTACAAAAATCGGCACTCTTCTGTTAATGAGGTTTGAATTTTAATGATGAACTGACTACCCGACCTGCACGATGTTCCAGATGGACTGGTCTGCAGGGTCAGCGGTTAGTTGTAGGCTAACAATTGAGATTTAATGAGTTTAATTGTTGACTAACATTTTAGATTTTGAAGCCGTATGTTTCATTATATTTGTTCTATAGTAGGTCTGTCCAGAAATTTCTGGTACTGCTTAAATTACGCTTCAGACCAAAATAGGAATTTGACCTTCGTGGATTTCGCACAGATGAACTTGGAAGGTTTTTTTACTATGTACTAAAAGTAACTTTCTTTTGTAGTGATCATTTGAACGGCAATAAATTTTACGGATGGTCTGGGTTTTGCATTTTTTTCTTCCTGGTAAAATAAATAAAGCTTCATACTCTGTGTCAATTTCATTGCAACCTCCATACCGGTTAAACCTTTGCTTCGACGGAGTTTTCCGAAAAGGTCTAAATAAATCGCTCATTAAAGAAAGTTTGGCACTCTTTTGTTATCGGGACCGGAATTAGAAATGGCTTGGTTTATTACGGCAAAGCCTCGAGGCTATCTGCCTAAGGGTAGGGATGCATTCATGGAGGACGTTCTAAGGGAAACTGGCTCGTATACACACAGGGAAAAGCGCAGAAACGCGCATGCAGCCAGCCCGTTCGCGGGATTCGAACCTCGGACCGAACTACTAATGTTCTGCGACTTTACCGTTCAGCCGTTCAGAATTCAGAAATGTATGTACACATGCATGTGTGTATGGATGTATGTATTCATGCATGCATGCATGTATATGAGTACGTACGTACACACACTAATATGTGTGTGTATATTATGTGTGCATACAGAATGAATCTGAATAAGGGGCTAAAACTTTACGGAGTGATAGTACATAACTATACGGGTAATATTCGTCATAGAATGTATGGTCGGAACTCAAAGGGTGAGAAGTTAATAGGTAGTTTTTCACTGAAAATGAGAGAAGATACTTTAGAAACATTTTATCAACAGGAATGTAATTGATGTATATGTTCCAAGAAATTGCTCAAAAGATCTTCCGCCAGATGTAATGCAGGCTTCGCACTTGCGCAATAGATTCTGACGCACATTTGCGAAGACAGCAGACATTTCCCGAGTATCGTCGGCAACAACGGCTAGCCTGACGACTAGATCCATATTCGTTTCGATGGGGCATTCGTAGATGAGGCTTTTCATACGGTCCCACAGGGAAAAGGCTAACTACGAGAGATCTTCGTGTCCAAGCTATGGGACCACCTCGACCAGTCCATCGCCCTGGAAATTTTGTGGTTCCTATAACCGGCTATCGGCAATGTACGGTAGAAAATGGCATTGGGTGTGAGGATTGACCATTTTTATATCTCCAATGCCACCTAGCAGCTCGCGTTTAGCGTTCCTTCCAGACTTTATGTGACGAATATTGCTTGTACAGCAGTCTTCTGTCACTCCGTAAAGTTTTGCCTCCTTTTTCAGATTCACCCTGTATATACACATATATATGCGCACGTACAAACTTAGTACGTTACGATTACACGTGCGTACATATATACGTTTCTGAATCCTGTTCCTATAACAGAAGAGCACCGAAAATTTATTGGTGCACCTGCGTTGTATTTTAAAAGACGACTTCCAGGAAGTTAATACTTAATATACGAATGTACAAGAAAGTATATTCTCCAGCATATGGACCGACGAAGGCAATAGTACTACTTAGTTTTTACGTCAGCTTTGGTTTAATGAGTTATGAGAAAGTTCCGAAATGTATTCACTTAAATGGGTAAATGCGTAAAAGATGTTACCTTTTAGATCAGAGAAAGAAGCTTGTAAAATACGCGTTTTCAGCATAGTATTCTTGCATAAATATAAATTTTGTGCAATTTCCTAAATACAGCGTTCTGTCAATTATATTTCTTGTTGATAGATGTGCTACAGAAATTCGTCCTCTACAATTCGGTATTTTTGCAAGTCTGTATTTATACGATTATAAATGTATCATCTGATCCGTCCCGGTCCACAGGTCAATGAGCAGAAGACGACTACCTGCAAGGTAGAGAACTAGTATGCTGACGAAATATGAGACGCTTGAATGTACATGTCTTCAATTCCAAAATGTTAGCTGCATCCATGTCTTAATTGTCAGTCTTGTCAGAAAGAATACGTAGTATATTTCATTCTCATTCTGTTATAGTACTATTGAAAAAGTTATCAAGAATAAAAAAAGGTTTCATTCTAAACAATAATTCCATATCGAAGGAAGAAAACATGAAATTCTATGAAGCATCCAGTTAGTATGTATTTCCCGTCTTGTATGGCTTCCTCTTAATTAAACTCTAAATATTTTATTTGAAATTAGCGTAATTTTAGCTTTTTAACTATTTACCCTTCAAGCGCCTTCAGAGATGAATTCTAAAATGAATATAACATGGAGATGAGAATTAGCTCTTACTATACCATTTAACATGCTCATGTTAGCAAAGGTTAGGTTATTTAATTACGGCAAAGCCTCGAGGGCTATCTGCCTAAGGAGAGGGATGCCTTTCGTGGAGGTCTTCCTAAGGAAAACTGGCGCGTATACACGTTACACATGGCGAAACCACGAAAACGCCCATGCAGCCAGCCCGTTCGCGGGATTCGAACCTCGCATGTCAGCAAAGCACATGAGTGATGCGTCAGAAAGATGTCAAAAGATCGTTCTAATGGAACCGGTATATATTTACAAATCACATGGTGAAAGTACCATGCAGCTTACCTGTCAGAATTCTAAACGAACTAACTAATGTAGAAAGGTTTTTAAATTTCTAAGAGACGTCTCTTAATAGCTGACGTTATTACATGTCTAGCTTAAATCACAAAAGTAAAAACCATTAAAATTCTTTAATGAATCTAACATGTTTAATTTATAACGCGCTGAAGTGATGTCATAAAATGTAAAGTAATATCTAAAAAACTTCGTGTATTTCAAATATGAGGAATCAGATACAATTTTACAGCAAATTCATGATTTTATCCTTTTCGTTTCAAATGTCTCCCTTTTTACGTATTCGAAGTTCAGTTTAATACTTCTTGCTAAAATAAACTATCAAGAATTCACCGCGTGTCATTAGCAGAAATGGAGTATTCGGGATTAGACGGTTGTTTAAATGTTTTATCCTGTCGACTGATCATCATTTAATAGCTTTAAATACGATCCATTACATTTGTAAAAAAAATTTAGTACTTAGTAAAATATAATGCATCAATACTTATTCAATTAACTTTGTGTGTGTGTGTGATTATGGCAAAGCCTCAAGGGCTATCTGCCTAAGGGGAGGGATGCCTTCGTGGAGGACTTTCTAAGGGAAACTGGCTCGTATACACGTTACACATGGGGAAAACCACGAAAACGCCCATGCAGTCAGCCCGTTCGCGGGATTCGAACCTCGGACCGAACTACCAGTGTTCAGCGACTTTACCGCTCGGCCGCTGGTGGGCCCTCAATTAACTTTGAATTAACTATTTTGTTCTTTTCTTTAACACAATTTTCTATTTGATAACAATCAAAATATTTGGATAAGACATTTTATTTCCTAATTTTTAAATTAAATTATGCAAAAATTTCGAAATAAGATGAATTACCATATATTCTGGGTCAGATTCATCAACAGGACGATACCGTATAATGTACGTCATTCCACGTGTAGGCTTACAGAAGTACGTAGTGTTAGCAGGAAGCTTCCAATGAAATTTCACCGAAGTCGGCGTTACATCGGTGAAACGTGTGGCTAATCCAAAACTTGGGTTTACTGTAAAATTAAAAATCGTTTAAAATTGTAAAAGAATACTTCCGTTTGTTTACAATAACATCAGAGATCCTATAAAAATATTGTACTTCAGCTAGACCCATTCTCACAAGCCTTTTACATTAAACCACATTAAAAGGAAAAGTCATTTTAATGCGCAGGAAAAAAACCTGTTAAGATACCAAAAAGTATGGAAAATTAATTTAACCTGAAATTTAAATTTAAGAAACATTTGAGAAATTTTAGTTACGGATTAATAAATGTAATATAACAAATGAATTTTGGAAAACGAGCATTATTCCGAAAAACTTAATATATGAGGACTTTCATGCAGGTGATTTATAAATCGTTGCAAACATCAAGACACAGTACAGTGTACCACGAGTTTCAGAAAATGCAGCATAAACTTAAAACACTGCCCTACAGGAAACGTCACACTACAAAGAATTGTCGAAAATAACATTCACCAATAGTAATATTTACTTTACGAATAAAAAAAAAAAAAAAAAAAAAAAAATACAAGTTTCTAAAGGACTAAAATAACAAGGTGATCATTAAAAAATATGGGACTTTAATTTTGGATGGTGTATTACCCTGAACTCCATGTGGCTCCGGTTTGGTAAGTGTATTAAGAATGTCGTGGAATATTGGGAATCATGTGGCTTTAATTTAAGTTCAGAGTTCATCTTCATTTCATAGTTGGGAGGCATATAAAAAATGTCTCGTTCTCGAATGGCTAGAAAGCCTCGTGTCAGGTAATTCAAGGTTTTATTTATTTTATTATGGCAAAGCTCTCAAGGGCTATCTTCCTGGGAAAAGCGATACCTTCATGAAGGGCGTTTAAGGGAAACTGGCTAATATACACGACACACATGGAGAAAAACAAGAAAACGTTTATGCAGCCAGCACGTTCTCTGGGATTCGAACTCCGGATCGAACTATCGACTGTTACCCAGGACTGACTGTTCAGCAGCTTCAGGCACTATCCTGCTGAATATTTTCGTTTCGGATATCCTGAAGCTATGGCAATTGCTCGAGCAGCAGCAAATTAACACTTCGCAATACCTTTAATATTTGGGTAATAGATATTATGGGTGAACAGGTTTAAACGAGATTGCCAAATTTTTTATACTGGCGCACTTTGCGGGACTTCATAACGGCAGAAAAAAAAAAAAAATCATCCAATAGCCAAGTCACTACCAAAATCCAACAGCAATCATTAGCGTTATTGGGTTCTTCATAAATGCTACACAGCTCCTTTCTGCATCTTTAGTATATATCGTGTTGTATAATTCTTAAACGAAAGCAATAATTCACTGTTAAAAGCAATCTTCAGAATGGAAGGCGTAATATATCCTTATCGCATCTCAGGGCGTAACATTGCCCAAAGGAATATCGGATTCTTATACGTCTCTCAAAATGTTACTACGTAACGTCTGAAAGTCCATCTGTGCTATACCATGTTTTGTTCCTGGACCATCTTCTCAGAATGTAGCCAATGGTACTAGCATGTTGCTTCTGCAATACTGCTGTACATCTACGTACAATCAGCTGGTACCTATCTGGAAACATCCAAATGATGAAATTCCATTCAAAGGCTTCTTAAAGGCATTAAAATTCCTTTATTGAAGAAACATGCTAAAAGCAGAAATATTCTGTCAGCGTTAACACTATGAATATCCTAGATGAAAAATCATTATGGCAAATTTTGTCGAAGAAATGTTTTCTTAAAAATGAGCTGGAACAGATTTTGCCGATACGGATATTTGCTTTATATTCAATATTCCCAATAAGTGTTATTATTTGTGGGTTATAACTACTTATAGTAAGATAAATTTTGTGTTTTCAAGATGGGTAAAAATGAAAGTTGCCAGAACTGCTATTCAATGTATGGCGCTTCACGAAAAATTTCGAGAACATGAGAAACGAAGTTAATATTTTCCAAGCCAGCAGCAAAATGACGAATTGTTAATTAATCTTGAAAAATAAAGGAATCTATGGCAACATGAAAATTATACTTTTAAGCTGTAATTGAAGCATATGATAGCTCATAAAATTTCTTCGTTAGCAACGTTTCGCAGTTGCTTATTTTATCAACCTGTCATATTTTCTGTTACAAAAGAAAGTAAACCAGTTCAATTTAAAAACTATTTTATACCTTAGCATACTAAAATCATAGATAAAGAACTTAAAAGTATTAAAAACTAAGTTCTAACTTCATTTTTCTGATAAAATTTAAGATTGTTGAGTTTACTAAATTTTAATATACATGTCGCTTAGAAAAATATTTCAGTACTTCCAAAATAATTTTATTTTACTATTAATCATTTAAATGTAAGCAAGTAGAGCAGAGTTATTTTTGTTGTTGTTAAAAGTTTGGTGAATTAGGTGTACCTATTTTGCGCTTCTTGTGCCGCTCATCTAAAGACATAGTGACCATTTTGTAATTTTTAATACGAATTCTTAAATGCACAATTTAGAACTTTCCCCTCATTCTTATTTCGTTAATATAAGCAATTTTGGACATATGGAAGTTTCAATAGGCCTATGTAGACAAATACTGAAACCATTTGAAATGTAAAGTGATTAAAATTAATTTAATTTTCATTTGTATGCATTTGTTTGTTGTAAAAGGCTTTGTGATTGGATAATTAGTTGGAAATACTTCAACTTCGTGGTGATACAAATGGTGCATATAAATAGCGCAGAAAATTTAAATTATTAAATATTATTGAGGAATTGTCAATGTTATTTTACACTTATTTTTGGATTACGTACTGAAACTCAGTTTTAGTGATAAATGTACGTTTGTCCGGATATTGTCAAAGATAATAAAGTTAACAGCATCGCGATAAAAGGAGCCAAAATTCAGCCTTATATTGCCATTAACATTACAAAAGTAATTTATGCATTAGAATTAATATTCCTTTTAAAGGGAAACAATAGTCCCCAGCATTGTACCAAACACACTCATCAAACTAAAAACATGACTTAAAATCGCAACATTTATTTTATCATTTGAGAAATTCGGAACATTTCGATGCATTTTATAGAAATTGAAGTCATGATCATTTTCGACAAACATCAAAGCCTCTAAATTTCCTCGGATCTCTCAACTTTAATACGTATGATTCAACAAGAATACATATGGGTTTTTTAAGTGCTGGGTAGATCAATTTGGTACTTTGGTAATTATCAAAATCACCTTGGCCCAGTTTGGCGATTATTTTGAAGAATGGCAATTTCAAATCGTAGAAAGTTGTTTATTTCGTGTCATACATATTATTAGGTACATATTTTAAATTTAGTTCGATATTTAACCCGAATTTATAAAACTATTTAAAAATGGTATATACCTCATGTAATTATTCCAATCTATCAGCCTTACACGTCATTTATAAATCTTCCAAGCAAAATTTAACACTCTTTAATTCTTTAATCGAGGTTCGTTACACGTTTTCACGCTAGATTTCCAAAAAGGTTGTTTTCCAAAACACATCTTCATCAAATGCGAATCTCAACATTCCCGCTTTTGTACCAAAACCTTAAATTCTTGCAGAAATTTCCCAGAACTTTCTTCGTTTGCAAGCAAATCCCAGAAGCGCATATTTCAAAAGTCAGCTGAATACCAAAAATAATGTAGTTTGCCTTTAGAGCTTCTAATACAACCAACATAGCATGCACGAAAATAGCGATGTTGCTTATTCAAAAGTACAGTTTCCGATATGGTTTACCTGGAGAATAGTTATGGGCATGGTTGCCACGTTTGGTGACTTTTACCAAGGTGCTTGCGATAATACCATAATTTGAACAGTTATGACTCGTTAACGCAAAGGGAATTATAGATAATTAACCATCAATTTCAAGTACCAATAATGAAACAACTGCACAAATAAGTCTTTAGTAAAACATACTACTAACTACACTGCCTAACTATTGAAATTTTTGCGCAAAGTATTAAAAACAATATCCATTTATATTTTCAATACTGAATTCATAACCAGAGCTGAATATTTTTTGAATAATACTTTTCCGGTTATAAATTCCACGCGATTAAATACATGTCACAACATTTTCACTTTAAATGTTATAAATTAATCCTAATTTGAAGAGACATATGTAAGCATTCCTTTCAGCGTTTTTCAGATTTCAATAAAAGTATTTTCTTCGTAAAGCGATATTATCAGTTTCAAAAACATTTATTAACTGAAATCATACCCAATCAGCAATTTAACAAACAAAGAATTAAATGCTTTTATAGAAATATTCAGTTACAGACTACAATATTTTTTTTTATTGCGGCAAAGCGCACGACAGCTGTCTGCTTAACATAAGTGATACTTTGGTGGAGAACTTCCTAAGGAAAACTGGCTCGTATTAACAGTACTTATTGGGAATCCTCTACAACGAGTCCATTTGCCAGGATTTTAATCCTGTCGTACTACTGTCCAGTGGTCTTATCTGCTGTACCGCTGGTGGCTGTTTTCAGTTATAAAGCGGAGAAAATCAAATACATATTTTGTAAAACTGGCATTTTATTTATGAAAGATTATCAGAAAACCAAAAGTTTACTTACGATCAGCAACATCACGGTTAAAACGACTCAGTCGTTCAGTTTTGAATTTTGCTACACTGTAAAATTCGTCGTCACTTTCGTCACCAACAGCAGCATTTTGATTAAATAATTCTTCATCTCCATTACCTGTAATTGTGACGTTACCTAGAAAGCTTCCGTCAAATTTTATAAGTAACTCTTCAGAAGATAAGTTATAAGTGGAATTGGTGAACTGCATTTCATTAGATATGGAGCACTGTATTCTCATCGGCGAACCTATTTGCAAATTAAAAGCTTTTAAAAAGTAACTGAAAGTAAATAAAGTAACTGAAATGAAGTTATTTTTAACAAACTATAACGAACAATTAAAAATATCTAATTACTTTTGCAGAGAAAAATTACAGCATCTTTTCAATCAACTTACGCCAAACAATTATCTTTAAAAGGATATATACGCCAATGACACTTTTGAGAATTGAATTAAAGGCTTTGCCCTTGCATCTTATAATGTTCTTTTTCCCTAAATATGGCGAAGCCCACCAGCGGCCGAGCGGTAAAGTCGCTGAACACTGGTAGTTCGGTCCGAGGTTCGAATCCCGCGAACGGGCTGGCTGCATGGGCGTTTTCGTGGTTTTCCCCATGTGTAACGTGTATACGAGCCAGTTTCCCTTAGAAAGTCCTCCACGAAGGCATCCCTCCCCTTAGGCAGATAGCCCTTGAGGCTTTGCCATGATCACATACACACACACACACACACCCTAACTATGGCGAATAAAAGATTTGAATTATGTTACTTTTATTTCTTTAGGTAACTAAAGTAGAAAATATTACGTTCGAAAATACATTTAATAACAGTCGAAATGAGCTGATGACGGAAGTTTTCTCGCTGGAAGTATCAAGTTGACGCATATATTTTCCTATACAGAATTGTTAAGCGCATGTTATATTAAAACGAAGAAAAGACTAAATTATGTTTCAAAACAATTTTGGAAAAAATATTCAGGCTTATAAGCAACTGACTTTCTGGTTCAAAAATATAAGCAGATTATGCTGAAAAATGTGAAACCACAAAAATCAAAACATTACACATAGTACCCTTTTTTTACACATTTACACACTGTATGTAGTACTACATTTTTTTATTTTTAATTCCTCAGTGAATCCATTAAGCCCTCGGGTATATTAAATATGTGACCCATAGCTCGGAAATGGTACCATATCAAGTTTTCCTGTTTATTCTTATTATTTTTAACAGTCTAGCAATTCAAATCTTGTGTTCGTACTCAATTAAGCTGAAGGCATATTCACCATTTTTTTTCCAATGTGTATTTTAAATCGATCATTTGGTAAAAATGCTAAGCTGTACAAAGTTTAACCATTTTTAAGATTAATGTTTAAAAATTAAAATTTTTATATAATATATGTTTTGAGATTGCTGGAGTGTTCCCCACCTACCTGATCACGAAGTGATCTTATAATCTTAAAGGGACACCCATAAAACCAAAAATAACTAACCAAGAAAAATATATGTTAGTATAAGAAAACAAAAATAAGGAAAAGTACATATATAAGGACAACACAAACACAAAATACTACCAAACAAACAACACATTGGAATTGGCAGGGCACCACAATGCTCACCAAAGTAAATCCCTCAAACCAAAATGCCAACAACTTGCCTATTATTATTAACAAAGCGCATTAGAATTCTTGAAAAATGCTTAAAATGTTTAAAATTCAAATTCTTAAAAATCAAATGATACATTATTAAAACTTTTTCTAATAGTATCTATTAGCGGACAGTCCACCACGAAGTGTCTGGCATTTCCTGGAATACCACAATTCAAACATAATTCATCGTCTTGTAGCATATTAAACCTATTCAAGTAATATGGGAACCTCCCATGTCCCGTAATCACTTGATTCATATCTATATCATTGTAAATAAACATGTTATTTGAAATATTAATTTCTATGAGTAGGTTTTTCTTCCTAATAATATATGTTTTAGAATATTACGAAATTTCAGATCACGGAAAGCAGTTTTTGTAGATTTATCAGCCAACACCGAAGAATTTTAGGAGTTGACATAGGGCGAATTTCGCGAAACTCATTCGCTGGTTTCGTATGTTGAAGATCTTGGCCAAGTGAATGCTCAATGACTTACAAAAATTAGTCACATTTTTAAATCAACCTTCAAGTTTGCTTACTATTACATTTTATACGTTGGCATAAGTATATCGACTCCAGTAAAATTTAAGTTTTAAGATAAAACCGACTGAAATTTACTTCCCATTTGGGTATTTTTCCGTTTCGCCGGCGCAAATCTCGCCAAGCAGACTTTGTTGGCTACAGCATACAGTATACACATAAAAAGTGTTAACAAATGTTAGGTCTGAGAAATTTTTATTTTGAAGGCATAAACATTTTGATATGGTTTAAAATTTTCTAAAAAGCCAATAAATAAAAACAATTTGTAAAGACATTAATTTAAGAATTTACTACGCTTTCATGGTTCAACATCCTGATTCGCCGGCTCCTAACACGTGACCCAAGTGATCTTATCTCTCGTAAACTACGCTACAAAAATCTAATTCTCTCAGTAATTATCTACATTAATTTCAAGTTAAATCTTAAATCTTATAGAATACAAGTTCAAATGCAAGAATTATTTCAATTCGTACGAATAGCTTACTCAGAAATTATGTAAAAACGCAGTGCTTTACTTAGCTAGTGCATTCTCATTAGAATTGATGAATTTAACCCTTGATTTTTGCCTTTCTATGCTATTGTATGTCAGTATTGAAAGAAACAATCTGATAAGAAATGGCTGCGACTTGTTTTGAAAATGAGGCGTAAAAGGTTACCAGCGAAGATATTCCGTTTGGCATCAGTTGTACCATTATTGGCGACTTTATCGTTTGCGCCGGCAAAACGGAAAAATACCCTAATTTGCATTTTAGAGGTAGAGAAAGTTTTGAAGAAAATTTTGAAGCAAGACTTTCAAAACTAAAGCACTCCAGATTGCCATCAAAACTAGAGCAGTCCAGACAGCCAGATTTTAAAATCTTAATAATTTAGATTAACACATAACACATATAATGAAGTTGAATAATTATGAAAACCGCTTTTTATTAAAGGAAATCTCCCGAGCTCTGTTTGTTTAAGGGTAGCGATGTTTACGCAGTGCGTTTTCCAACGGGTTTCGGTTTATATAATTAAGGCAAAGAACACGAGAGCTATCTGCCCAAGTGGAGGGATGCCTTCGTGGAGGCCTTTCTAACGTAAATCGACTGCTATGCACGTTACATAAGGAAAATCACGAAAACGCCCATGCAGTCAACCCGGTTCGCCGAGATTCGAACCCTGAAACGAATTACCAGTGTTCAGCGACTTCACTGCTCAGCTGTTGGTTGGCCGTTTTTCAAAGAGAATCGGCTCTTTGCACATGAGGAAATTATGAAGGCCACATGTATGTGACTCTGAGTTAAACAACTATGTCCCATTGTTTTGTCTGCCATCAGCAAGCTCTTCAGTAATTTGTGAGATATTTGATAATTACTTTTGCAAACTTTAAACATTAGAACTTAAATTTGAAGCCTGTGCCTTGAAATTGCTTCTTAACTATATTTCAGTAAATCTCAGCCAAACTGTAAAACTGAATAATTACAATTAAAATATATCATGTCCATAATGAAGAAAACGAAAACCAAATGAATTAATTTCAACCTGAAAATAAAAGATTAAAAATATTAATCCAATTAAGGCATCTTATTTTATTGCGAAGTTTCATTTAAATGTATTTTCTTGCCACTGCAGAATTTCGTTTATTTTAAATTATGATCTTACAACACTTCCCTAACACTTCTCCTTTTACGAAACCCCTTAATTGAAAACCCATAGTTTTCAGTGGGAAATTTGGCAAGAGAATTTTATTTGTTTAAGTTCATATGGGAGTTTCACAGACCTCGAAAATGGGGTAGCCAGTTGGCGCGATTTCTGTGCTACTTCAACATTTATAAAAATTAATAGTATTTCACCATTTTGAGAAAGACTGGCGTCATTTAATTACAGCAAAGCTAATAAAGGCTATTTGATTAAATTCTATGAAAACTTTGATCTAAAAAACTATGAAATAACAAATTATTTAGGGAGTTAATTCCAGCGTTTCCATTTTAATGCATTTTAATGATGTTAAACGTGTCAGAACGGATAAAGCCCCAGGCTGAGTAACTTAATCTTAAATTTTTAAGATTCATTTAAACACTATTTACCATAAATGTAAAAAAATAAGTTTGGATTGGTTTATTTGATTACGGAAAAGCCCACGATATCTGTCTGTCTAAGGGAAGGGGTAGCTTCGTGGAGGACGTTTTGAGGGAAACTTGCTTGCATACACGTTACACAGGGAGAAAAACACGAAAACACCTATGCAGCCAGCCCCGTTCTCCGGGATTTGAATGCCAAACCAAACTACTAGTGTTCAACAACTTGACCGTTCGGCAACTAATGGGCTGTAAAGAATAAGATAAAATTGGAAACAAAACAGTTGCGTTTGATGTCTAGACGTTTGAAACCATAAGCGTTAACACAGTAATAAACTTCTTTGCTTTATTTACCTAAAATATAAAAGTAATCCCAAAACTTGTTTTATCTTAAGCAACTAAAACTTTATTTTAAATTTTAGTTGCTTAAGATAAAAGAAGTATTGCCTTAACTCGACTTGCTTTATTTTAGATTTTGTCTTAAATGTTGTGTACGCAAAATAACACATTAAAGATTTGTCTATTATGATTTTATTATTGGGGTAAACTTGTAAATTGATTGTCGAAAGACATCACACAAGGTAATCTGCCTTAGAAAAGATGGTTATGCGGTAAACGTTTTAAAGGAAATTGGGTCTTGTTTCACGCTATACATGGCGAAAGTGGCGAAACGCAGTACAGGCAGCCGTTTCGCGAAAATAGCAAACCGGTAAGATCTAACACCGTTCATGAAATCAATACTTAAATATCTATAGAATTAAATACACAATAATTAAGTATAGATTAATGAATGTTAAAAAGAACTAGTTTAATACATACAAAGAAAATTAAATAATTTTTATTAAATACCTTCCATATTTTAGGACCCCTATAAAATTAATAAACTTTAACCAGAGTTTCGATAATTTAAGGTAAACTCTTATTAGTATTGCAAACCAGCGCGGCAAAATTCTACTGCTTGCTTTTCATATTTTCATATTTTCATATTTCATTTTTATGAAATGCATATTTTCATAGTTCTAGTGTCGTTATTTGCTATACCGAAATAAGCATACAGAATTAAGAATGGCGTAATGAAATATAAATTAATTTTAACTTCACAGATTCATATTTCATGCAAGATAGTTCGGGTATTAAGACAAACATCTTATATGAATATCTTTGGTTTCAAAATAACATCTTGTATGGAAATCTTCAGTTTTAATGAAGACGTGTTTTGTTTTAAAATATCAATATGGCTTTCAATACCAAAAATTAAATTTGCAACATTCCTTATGTCCAAGGTTCTACTTAAAACACCAGTATGGATTCTATTAGATTTCAGTGTGACAATATAAATTTTTTTCTGTTTCTTAAAATATCATGGCAAAGCAGAGTTTCTGCCCGAAAAGCAATATCCATTTACAATATACTTAAAATGCAACTAAGTTTCTTCCATGACAAAAAACATGAAATCAATGCTATCCCCTATTGCTTTCAATAAATCAATGAAACCAATACTACTGTAATCCGAGATTTACTGTTAGTGTTTTATGGCTTTAACAAGTGTACTACTAGGGTGTCAAGAGTGACAATAATTCAATAAATTTCATCTGAAGTATGAAAAACTGCACTTACTTTGAGAAAATTCTGGAATAGATTGACATGCCACTAGAGCAATGAGCAACATCTGTGGAATTAAAGTCAGGAAGCATGATCTTCTAAACATTTTAATAGAATAGTTTGGCCCTTTCACTAGTCTTCTATCAGAAAAGAAGTTGAAACATGTTTTAAATCAAGAAAAAAGAAAGTAAAACAAATTACTTAAATTTTCAATTATGCATACATAATGTAAAAATCCCTTGAATGAGAAAAAAGTTAAAAAATAAGTAATTTAATATTGTTCAATGGAAAAGTTCAGTCCGATGTTTTAGTTTTATGAAATGCATATTTTAAAGAGCATGATTAATGTACAAGATGAAATGGCGACTTTAAAAAACGTTACATACGATAATTACATTTATCATATGATTAGGTTCGAAAACGTTACTAAATACTTCTTTTTAAAAAAATGAATTTACAACTTCGAAGAACAAAACTCACTCTCAAAAACTCACCGAAATTAAACAAATTTAATTACGAGATACATTTTAGTTTTAATCTAGTTAAATAATGCTTAGATCGTAAATTACTAAATAATTATATGCTTCTAACGATTGGAATATTTAAAACAAAGAAAAATGCTTGACTATTATTTATTAAATTGTGTAATTAAAGGGCAATTGAATTAAAACTAGTAAGCTAGTTTAATCTTTCAATGTCACAGTGGCAACTACTGAACACGAAACATATGATAATTACATTTTTTTAACTCACAAACTTCTAAATACGAGTATAGTGCTAAACTGCAAAATTAAACATACCTTTAGTATTTAAATTTAAATACAATTTGTAAACACTTTACCTTATGTATAACGTTTTGATAAGGGACTGAACGTTACAAATGTAGGTACTTAAAATAGCGACCGAATTTTAAGAACTTCCCTGTTGATCATTAGCACAATGAAACATTTTTACTTACAGTTACGGTTATAAAGAAATGCTGCTCAATAACGAGAACTCTCTATTTATCTTTCTTAGAAAGTCCTCCACGAAGGCATCCCTCCCTTTAGGCAGATAGCCCTCGTGTGCTTTGCCATAATTAAATAATCCAATCCAATCCAATCTATTTATCTTTCTATTTTGTTATCGATATGGCGTAATTAAATATATTGCATTGCAATTTTAAATATTCTTAGGGTTTTTGATGCATTAGATACTCGATTACACTAGCCAAGAAAACCTTTGTGGCAATGTAAATAAAAGGGGTAGAGAAGATTTAAGGATGCTCCTTGGAGTATCGCTAAGTTGTTGTTTCAGTTATCGCCAAGTTGCTGTTTCATTTATCGCCAAATTATTGTTTCATTTATGGTAACCTGAGTAGTTGAATGTTATGGAAACCCTATAGCATGACGTAATTGGTTGCGTGATTGCCATCAATTGGAATTGTGGGAAAAAATTTGAAAAGTATGTGTCGGATTTCGGGTAAGAAGTATATTGTTATTTTGTGGTTTACACGGTAAAATAGCTGAATGTGGTAAGATTAATTTAAAATTTCTGTAGGATTCGGAACGAAAGGGAAAAAAGCATTAATTGACTGATGTGCAAATGAAGGTTTACTTAGTAGCCATTATTAACTGTCCTATTTGTAGGAAGGAAATGCGTATGGTCGAACATCAGACGACGATAACCAGCACTACGGAGGATATTTTTGTGAATTTATGTGGCCGACGCTAGTATACAGATTCTAGTTCAGATAATTTAAGAAGTTTTTGGATGCTGTTAAGGAATTTTGTTTGACGGAAGACACGTAAATATGTAAATAAGGTAAATGGATATTTCCTTTGTGTAGTGCTAAGATGAATTTCCTTTTTCATGTTATTTCATTGTTTGATTTAAAATGTAATTTATTGAGATTATATATCTTTTGTTGCCTGCTCCTTTGACTTTTTAAGTGAATATGAATTGATCTGTACATGGACAAAGTCAAGGGAGTACGCAATGCCTGGTTTGTGCAATTCTCTGATGTTTTTTTAAGTGAAAATAGGCCCTAAGATCAGCAAATGTGGCGATATGTCTTCTGCGCTGGTTTTCAGAACGACTGCGTATTGTATGGCGACCCTTTTGACGTCGAAAACTCTTTTGCTGGAGTGGTTTAATTGCTCGATGGTTCATGTCGTGCGTGATTTCAAACGGCCTATGTTGCAAGAGGGTCTGGAAGATTATTTTCAGTGGCTGTGCATGATAGAAGTAAGGAAACCGTGATGCAGTGTATTAAAGAGTGGATTGAGCCTTGTACAACTGTTTTTTCAGATGGCTGGAAGCCTTACAAGGATTTAGGAAAAGAAGGTTTTGAACATTTATTTTTGAACCATAATATGGATTTTGTAGATAGCGAGTCTGGATGTCATATAAATACCATGTTAAAGCTACGTTCTGCTGCCCGAAGAAACGTCCATCATTGTAAGTGTATTTTATTTTATTGTTTTTATTTTGTAGAATGTTATGTTCATTGTTTTTTTACTATGAATTTCTGTTGTTATTATTGTTTTTTGAATTATTTGTAATTTATTTTAGTTTATTTTGTTGATTAGTGCGCAATGCCTAGATTGTGCAATTCGTAGATTTTTTTAAAGTTTAAACAGAATGCTGTGTACATGGTATTGTTTGAAATTTATTGTTGTTATGCTAATTTATTAAAGCGATGTGTGCATAGTTCGTAGATTCCTCCGCTGCCTATATTGTGCAAATCGTAGATTTTTTGTAACATCGCTGTGTACATGGATTCTTGTCAAATATTTTTGGTTAGAAACTGCGCATATAAGAGTAGTTCCAGTAGGTCGATGTGTACATGGATACCGAATTTGTGCAATTCTTTGATTTGTTATTTTGGATTTGCGTAGCGGTGATTTTGGGGGCAAAAATCGCCGCCAAAATAACAGATCAAAGAATTGCACAAATTTGGTGTCCATGTACTTCCAAAAATAGCAAATTATCGCCAAGGGGCACCCGAAATATATTTTTACCAATAAAAATTATTTTTTCTAGGTGTCCTTGTATGCTAGATTTAACATATATTCAAATTTTTATAATTCCCAACAGTTTTCAGGTGGCATCACTAGTTCACGTCTTTTGATAGTAAATGCTTCTTAACCCATTTGAGACGGATTGCACACCGTGTGTGCAATGATATTAAATTGTAATTATCAGTGAGTATGAAAATAGCAGCTGTCGAATTAACACTGGTTTAAAATAAAAATTTTTTTTAGAAGTAAGTAAACATAAAATTTGGTATTGATTTCAATTTAATCCCTAACATGAGTGGCCTAAAGCAAGGACAATCAAGAATGCAGAAAGTAAGCAATAATTTATTGCATGCAGGAAACGGAAAAAAACGAATTATTATAATTATGAATGATGATAGTTATCCGAAGTATGAGGAAGACACAAATATGAATATAGAACTGTTGGATGGTATACTCTTGATGAGAGTTTGAGGAAATTGATTGAAATGATTATAAATACTGCACTGAAATATTGGATTAAATTATAAATACTGATTGGGAAGATTATAAGTGAAATTTAAGAGCATGAAACCGAAGTTAGTGAAAAATCAAATAAGATTAAAATTAGAAATATCACTCATTAAATAAAGGTTTGACGGCTATGGGATTCCTAATTAATATGCTGTTTTCAAAATATGCATACTTTAAGCGGGGAATTTGAAAACTCCAATCTCGTTGTAGAGTTTATTTATGCTAATTAAGCCGTTATTTTTATGTTTTGACTCTGTGCTCCCTGTTCCATATTATCTTCTGGTTTAAGTCATTAAATTTGTCATTTTCAAGGGTTTCCTCATATGCGGTGATTGAAGATTTTCGCTTATTAGCAATGCGCAGTTCCTTTTAAAATCCTTTATCATCTGCCTACCCTGTGAGCTTCATATTGCGTTCAGAAGTGCTGGAACTGTTCGTCATTACTCGTAGTATTTATTTTGGCAGTTGCATTTCGTCGTAGCGGTTGGTGCGTTAACATTTGCGGCAGCTACTTTAGAATTTTGAAACGGAGCGAGTATGCTTTCTTGAGTTGGTTGTATCTTTTTAAGGTAGGACCTTGGATAGGAACTCCACAATTTTCTAGATTAAAGATTTCATCACCAATAGCATCTGAACGCGCGAGAATCGCTGTCCAGGAGGACAGTTTGGAAACGTTAACATCCATAACGAGAGTGGCGTGTCCGTACAAACTGGAGAAGTAATTATTCCTTAGGGGAAAAAACTAACATGGATCACGAGCGCAGAAATGATGATGAAAGTGAACTGATGAAAAAGGATAACAAAGAAAAATAAGCTAAAAATTTTAAGATACTTTGATACTATGGTTATTCTGGCATGCAGCGGGGAATTCCTATCCCTGTTCTTTTCGGATTCCTGAGTGAATTCTGAGCTGGGCATGACGTCTGAAGAAGTCTGTAAATGGTATTCTCCAGATGAGGTATAAGCTGTAGTGGGAAATATATTTTAAGAAAAGTAGAAAAAATACTATGTACAATGCTCCTATCAGTCCACTACCGACCATTTCCAAGCTTTATGAAAAAAATCATTCATGTCACATTAATCAAATTTACTCAAGAAAAGAGTTTGGCTTCAAAGAAGGATATTGTGCAATACATCAAATCTCTAGAACAGTTGAAATGGTTGGCAGAAACTTCAGAATCAGAATCATCGCTTTTACTAATAGCACCAACTTTATAAGAGTTTTGACTAATAATTCTAAGTAGGCCAGTGGCCGCTCGCAAATCTTTATATTAAGTCAGGGGTGCATGAGCACCGCGCCGGGGGGGGCGAAAAACTGGTCTAAGTGGCAAATCATAAGGGAAGGCAGTAAGTTGATCTAGAATCAATTTCAGCTTTTATGCAGTAAGAAACTTGAATTAACTTATGCAGTAAATAAAGTATTGAGTAGGTGCTGGGAGTAGTTGCTTGAGTTTCTGACTGGAAGTTCTTAGATCAATATATATCTTTTATGCCAGACTGATGCTGTTTTGGACGCGATGTTGCCGGCTCCATGACAAATAAGACACAGGGGCACATAACGTGAAAATGTGCGGGCTGAATAACAGATAACAGGAAGTCGGAAGTGAAGGAGGGGGTTGACCGGCGTCACAAGACGAAAGCTAAGCTATAGATAAGCACAAAAACCAGGAGAGGCTCAGACTAGGTGAGAATCTGACAGATCATGTTCGTGATGTGTTGGTGGTGAATACATGAAGCATAACAGTGACAAAAATTTATTTACTGAATATCAGATGAGTACACATAAAAAGTACGAAAACACAAAATACACAATGAAGTAAGCGGTGAGGTGGGCCGCATATGGTCGAAGTTTGCAGTCTTCTCTAAGAGGAAGGTAGCCGAAGACCTTAAAATGTTGTAGGTGCTCGTAGCTAAGAGCCTTATCAAAGAAGTTTGAATTCATTTTGTGTAAGTTCATTTTGAATCATTCTTAGATGACTAAGCAGCTAGATACGAGAGAATATCGTAGATCACGTCGATTAGTCGTAATTTGATTGGTGCGTATTTGCTTAAGCATTAGATCACAAAAAATGCAAAATTAATTAAGAATTCATTAAAGTCCTAAGAATAATTAGGTAAATCACATCTGAACGAGGTAAAGTATTCGAAATACACGAACAAAATAAGGAATTCATGGCATTAATAAACTATATTTTTTAGGAATAGCAGAAGTGGGCGGGAGATTACGTAGGCCAATCAGAGTTAAGGAAGCTGAGCGCAGGATTTCATCTAGGTATGTCGAAGCGATTCACTCTTAACACATAACATACACTATTTGAATTAGAGAAAAACTTGTGCCCAAAGTCCATTTGGCTATACCAAAATAAAACAAAGTCCGGAAGCTTCAGTAAGAAAGAAACAGTCGTTGTCTTATTTCTTGATATTGAAAAAGCGTTCGACA